ACATATCCTTTTCTATATGGATTGGATTCAAACAAATCAATGCAGTTATACCACATATAACTTCCTTCTTTTCTTCTATGTTTACTATGTTGTTGTCTATGCATTTATGACACCGATTCTCTATATTGCTTTTGCCGTTTTAACGATCTATAATGTACGAAAAACCAAGAAGATAGTCGCAATAGTTGTTCAAAGAAATGGCACGATGTTTCAACCACAACGACAACAGTTAACATTGAATGCACAATTACTTCGGATGCTCCTTGTTCAGGTATTTCAAATGATTCGAGTAACATTCATCCGAATTCAAATTTATCTTTCAGGTTATTTCATTCGTTATACTAACGATGCCATTGGCAGCATGGAATGTCTATATTGGAATAACTGCCTCGAACGAGAAAACGACTACAAGGAAAGATTTAGAGAATCTTCTCTCGGTTTGTTTTCGTCTGTTGACGTTTGTGAACATTGGATCAACATGTCTCGTTTATACAATCACGGCGCGCGTTTTTCGCGACGAACTTCGAGCTATTTTTCAATATCTATGGTTCCGAACTGGTGTACAACGTCCATCATACTATAGTATATTTTCTGTCTCTCGACGTGTCGTTCCCACAAAGTAAAAAAAAGCGAACAGCATTCAATATTCGATGTTGTTATTGTCTCGTTCATGTACATATACTTAGATGTCTTTGAAATAAATGAATATTTCCTATAAGAGTAAATCACTTTTTATATTTCTTTTCATATTCGTACACGAACACAAACGTAGAAAACATGAAACAACAATATGAGTAGTGCAATAGAGACGAAAAGAAATCGACAAGCCAACAAAATGAAGAAGTTTGTACAACAAAGAAAAAGACAAAAACGGGTGGTCAGGATTCACTTGGTATCGTTGACCTGAAACATAAAAAAAGAAAAACAAACCAATATGAATAAGAGCAAATCGAATGTGTAGTGTATGGTTGATCTCAAATCAAACTTTCTCAAAAAGATCACACTTACTGTGTTTAACGTATCAAGAGAATTTATCGTTTGCGTGTCGCTCATCTGCACCTCAAAGGAATGAGTTTTCCTATTGCCAACTTTTCATTTGTTTCGATAAATGGTTATATAGATGAACACATAAATAAATGACACTATTTATTCATTATTTAGAAAAGTTACTATCTGTATACATTGATCAAGCGAATCAAATACTATTATTTTTTTATCATCAAATATTCGGGACAAAAAAAGAAACAGAACAACAAGTTCAAAATCATGCACTTGCAGCGCGGATTGAGCAGAGCTCCAATCATGACGAGATTCACGTATAGTTATAAAAAAAAATATATATATGCAATATGTATATGTATATATGTATATGTATAAACAGTGATGTATTCCAAAGGGCAAAAAAAATAACAGAGACTATATTTGACTCATTGCGTCAGCAACAGAAAAAAAAAGTTATAGAAAAAACACATAGTTGATTGTTAGTGTGTGTATATATGTGCATATCGACATGTGAGCATAAGTCGAATCAAAATGATTGCACTGAATTTCATAGCTGACATGAGAGAGGGCAGTGAGAGGAAAAAATACGCGTACACATAGTGAAGAGCATAAAAAATAAACAAATTTCAAAAAGAATTGAACACAGAGAATGAAAAACAAATGACTAATTGAACAGCTTACCAGATCGCATGTTTGTTTGTTTTTAGTTGAGAAGAATGAAAAAATGATGCTTTCAATTTTTCAACGTCGCCGATGTTCACGGCTATATTTGCCATCATAATCTTCATTACGACGATATTCATTTCGATCACGCGGACTACGTGAACGATGACGATGCTTCTTACGCGAAGATTCACGTGGTGATCCAGATCGACTTCGATGGCGTGTTCTAAAAATTGATAAATCACTTCGTTTCATCGACATAGTAGTCCTATGCATAGATACTTACCGTTGCCCATAGGATTTATCTTCAATGCCTTTGAGTGTGTCTTGGAGAGAACTGATTAAAATTTTACATCGATCATCATTGGCGATTTTCGATTGTTTGATCAATGAAACTGCTGTCACTAAGGTTTCAATAGCTGTAGCAAAGTCGCCTGAAAGAAATCAGTGAAATCTCTGGATGCTGATATGTACAAGTGAATCAACTAACCAGCAGACGCATCCTGAACAGCTCGAGCAATTGCACTACTGGAAACAGTTTTGTTTCGTTCCATGATTTCTTGAAATTCCGCTTCGCTAATGGGCATCATATTTGCTGGGTCAGAACGAGCATCAACACCACGATAGTAGGGATCAGTATGTGGTTGACCAGGCATTGGAACACCGTGTGGATGAGGCTAGAATTATATCGATATAAAAAAAGAATGTAAATACAAAAAGAATGATGTACTTACGCCTTGACCTGGTTGACCTGGATAGTATCCAGGCGGATGTTGACCAGGCATAACTGTCATAGAACTAGAAGAGACAGGTACACCTGAAGACAAAGAGAAACAACATTCCAATCATCAAAAGGAATAATATTATTATCGAATGGATATACCTGGTGCACCAGGTGCCATGGGTTGGCGTACTAGAGGAGGTCCATTAACTCCTGGTGGGACACCAGGTCGTTGCATAACGAGAACGGATTGTTGTGGATGAACACCGGATAAAGGTGGACCGGGCATTCGGCCGAGAACTAATTGATTGCCAGGTACATGACCTCGTGGACCGAGCGCAACTTGCATTGGTGGACGAGCGATGCCGGGTGGTGCTCCTGGCAAAATGATCGATCCTTGATGTGGAAAACGATATGGTCCATCCATATGACCGCCACGAGGCATCGGTAACGGAAGTCCAACTGGTGGACGCATCATTTGACGAACTGCAAACAAAAGACATTTCAATAAGACAAAATACTGTTGTGTTCAAATGTAAACTTACGAGGTGGTGCAGCCATGGGTGGCATAGGTTCGACTGGTGCATCTTTACGAGTAACACCTTCAAAAAAACTGAGCGATTGTTTATTACAAGGCAAAACAGTTGGATTTTGTCCATGGATTTCTCGTTTAGGTATCTTCTCCAAGATCATTCGAGATGATGCTTCCGAAGCGACGGTAACAACGGCAAATCTATCAAAAGAATACATACACATTCAGTCATATTCATTTGTGAAAGACAAATATTTAGTTTTACCCTTTTGATTGCCCGTTAACACGATTTTCATGAAATTTAACTTCAAGCAAATCGGTGATGCCTAAATCATGAATTGTATTAGCTAAATCAGCATCTGTTGTCCACTAGAAGCGTAAAAAAGTGAAACAGCGATGCATACACAAACTCGTCATTATTTTCACAAAAATGACATACCCAAGTCAATTGACCAACGTAAAGTGATACTCGTTTCCCATTGTAACTATTTGATGGTGTACTTCGGCCAGTCGAACCATTTGATTGATCAAGTTTAACATGATTTTGATTGACTATATTTGTAATATCAGCAAAATCTGTTGACGACGATTGTGTTGTAATCACATCATCGTATAAATCTGTATCTTGTACTAAATGGGCATCATTTGTCATATAGTCATCTCCCACCCCCTATGTCAAACAGAAAAATATATTTAACCAAGAAAAGAACACGACTCTCGTACTGTGTCAAGTTCATTTTCAACAACATCAGCATATAAATCAATTTCAGTATCACCACCTGCCCCACCATTGCCAGAAATAGCTACTTCTGTATCAGTCATAGATCTTTATTGATAAGTAGTAGAAGTAATTATCTGCAGAAAGAAAATAGGTTCAATAGAAGAGACAAAACAGGAAAATGTGTTGAAAAATCAATCAAATCAAAATGTGATTGTCGTTTGTTTGTTATGTTTTTCTTTTCTTCTTTCTTTTTGAATTGCCATTTTATGATGGAAATGACCTCTAGATATTTCTTAAAACTGACATAAATGTTTCGATCAAAGTAGATTGAATTATTGTTCTTTCAGAATGTACAAATAGTCCGAAATTTTTACTATAAATAACCGAATTTGTGTTCTTTGATAGGTGTCGCCAACAGTCAACATGATCCGATGTACGAAGATGTTTTGCTGAAACGATGATCGAAAACTAGCTGAGATTATTAAAATTCCTTGTGGGGCCTTAGGAATTTCTGATGCAAATAATTATCCAGAGAGGATTGCCTCTACGCTTAAAAAAACATATCCTTTATTTAGACATCTAACATAAAATAATGTTTCCGTTGATGTTAATCAAAATGTTGCACAAGGCCAGCTTATATTGCTCAGCCAAGTATTATGGCATAATCGTATCATTAACGACAAAAGAAAGAATGGATGGATGTTCTTTTCGTTTTTTTACCGTACAGTTGAATAAAATAGTTCTAGTTGTTAATTTACTTGTTAAAGAAGCGTTGGACAAGGGACGCGGGTTGCTTCTACTTTTTGAACAGCTTATTCCGAGCAAAAAGTATTCGATAATGGTTGCTGCAAGAGAGGATATTAACGGGAAAGTAATGTGCCTTAAACCAACTGTCAATCTTGATTATTACTTGAAACACGTCGACAAAAATGCCACTTACCAGGGTCTAGGAATTTTAATTTGCTGTGTGCACTATGCATCTAAACGGTCAGTGTGACACTAAACATCTTCTGGTTTGTCCTTATAGCGATTTATCCATTTTAAAGCTCGTAATTTCTCGTTAGTTAAGTACTTAGTTTTATTTTTACTTCATCTTAATTCAAACACATCGTGTGACAGCTTACTCGAGCTGCGTTAGTGTTATAAAAGAATTTGATTATGATGTTAGTTTGTTTCTCATTTATATCCTTGAGCAACTAACCATATAGTGTGTCGAATTACCAACAGGCAAAGCCTTACCTGCATGAAAGCAATTGTTTACTTTTAATAAAATGAAACGATTTTCCACTTCATTATTTTATACAAGCTAATTTAAACTAAGTTATATCATAGAAACTTCTCGTAACTTTGTTCATTTTTCCATGGAATATTTTAATAGTAAAGTTTACACATAATACAAACAGCTAATGATATGATTCACAAATTAGTTGTACCATTCTAGATTAATTCATTTCACACGGTCGATAGAAATGGGTTCGTTGGACAATGTCTTATCATCTATTGAGAAACACACACTTTTTAGTTTGGCTTGGATATATGTTGTTTGGGGTGTAACTGGATGTGTTCTGAATATAATCCTGTTCACTCGAAAGCAGTTTCGTAAAATGTCGTGCTATATATGTAAGTTATCCTTGTTTGTAGATTACTTTGATTAAATTCTTTTTGTCTCTGGATAGACGTCTTAGGAGCCGTTGTAGGTATGATGTTCAGCCTATTAATCTACTCAATTCCAATTATCTATAGCTATTATAAAGTGGATTCATTAAGCTACAGTATCTGTTTTTGCAAATTTCATGTATATTTTGATAGCACTACTTCAGTGATATATCGTTTATTACTAAGTGCAGCATCTTTCGATCTTTATGCGTCATCAGCGTCGAATGCACGTTTAAGACGTTTAGCAAATGTACGATTCGCATACCGTGCGATAGCTACGATTACTGTTTTGGTTTTGCTTGCACATGTTTATATATTGATTGTAACTAATATTAAAGCAGGCGCTTGTGCTAATACATTGAATTTAATCTCGCTGTTATTTGTTAATCTCTTTACTTTATTTAATAATTCATTTCTGCCAACGGCAATCATGATTGTTTGTACTTTACTTACCCGAAAGAACCTGACACAAAAGCGAAAACGCCGACAGGATCTCGATGCTCAACGACCCTCAAACAACAGAATTGCTCAAATCCAATTAAAACGTGATCAACAAGTTTTTAGAGTGTTATTCGGCCAAGTCGTCGCTTTTTTTGTAATAACGTTTCCATCTGTGATTTATAGTGTGAATAATATTATTTCACCTTACATAACAAACAAGAGTGCGAATCAAATTACTATCGAAAATTTCATAAAAATCATGGCAGAAGGATTATCATATCTCTTTCCTGCCCTTTCATTTTATATAAACACATTAACGTCCAATATGTTTCGAAAAGAATTATGGACCATTCTACGAGGTTGGTTTTCTTGCGGTGACGCAACCACTAATAAACGTGTCGAGCTAAAACCGGTGCAACAGAGAGTGCCTGTAAACCCTTTACACTAAGAGAAATGCTCATCTCTTTCTAGACTAACTATTCAATGTTTGTCATCGATGTTGTATCGTCACATGTTCTTTCACATAGAGAGTCAATCAAAAGTAAATGCACAATTCTTTGTTAAAGAATCATCTGAATTGAACATGAGAGATTTAAAAAACAACAATTTATTGAAAAACAGCAACAAAACAAAAAAATTTGAAGAAAACAAGATGAACTTTCTTTATGGTTCACCACGACGACTATTCATTCGACCACGTGGAGCTCGACGAACATTTCTTCGATGATCATCATCGTCATCTGTGTTTCTTTTTCTTCGTTTTTCCTTGGTACTCGTCGGACTCTTATTAGTGGCCGATGGGTGAGTGAATGTCGTAGACTTGTCGGAGTCTGCTGTTCTTCTTGCTCGTTCGGAAAACGACAATGAACGAAGAGTTTCCTGATCGCCTTCATCTTCGGCACCGACTGGAACCAATTTTGTTCGACGAGGAGTTACCGCTGCTTTCTTTTCGTCAACTTCATCTTCATCAGATGTGAGAATATCATCCATTAAGTCGTCTTCTTCGTCGTTTCCTTCTCCATCGTCATAATCTTCGTTTTCATCACCATTTTCCATCTTAAAGAAAATGATCAAATCATTAGCACTTATTTTCATTTGTTTTTTCTTACCGATTCTACATCTTCTTCAACAGCTGTTTGTTTATTCAAACGAGAAACCAATGGTGCGATGTTTTTGAATGCGTCATGATTCACATCGATTTGCATATCAGGATTGGTGAATAGCGATTGAAATCGAGAATCTTTAAGTACAGATGATGCCGAGATCTAAATGAGAAAAAAGAAACGAACAATCTTTTCGATACGAACGGTTGCACTACGAACTTTATCTTCCGCATTTTTCGCTTTCTTCTTCTTGTTCTTTGTTGTCGTTTCATCTTCATCATGTCGAAGTTTTTCAGCAAGATCTTTGTTAACCGTTGGTACAATCTATTGCAAAACGAGAAGAAATTTTGAAAGGATATGCGAAGAAATAATTATTTACCGGAAGAGGTACACGACTTCTTTCACGTTTTTCATCGATCTTTTGACGCAATTTCTTCTTACGATATTCAGCAAACGCAAATGGTTCTGCTACTGTCTTCGCCTACAAAAACGATCAACTTGTTCACAAAAGAGCAGTGCGAGCTAAATGGTATTCACTTGATTATATAGTCGAATATCCATGAAATAACCATGCATATAAGCGCGAAGAAGATCCGAACCGATCAAATGAGACAAACCAAGTGTATCCAAATCTTTCAACGTTAAGAATTTATAATCATCATAAACTAAAATAAAAAATGAAAATGTAATGGTTCGTGCTGTTCAAAACAATCATTCCACCTGTATCTGCTGGTTTTTCTTCGAGTTCTTCGGTAATATTGTCCAAGAATGTGCACCATTTCGGCGCATTTCCTAATGTCTACAAATGAATTGCACGTATAACCAGACATTCCAGCATCTATTTGTGAATACATACTGGAATATAATAAACAAAGATTTTGGGAGAATCATTCGTTAGACATATAAGACCGCTTCCAGGTATATTGAGCATGTCATTCAAAGGTGTACCAGGTTCCAAAGACGTCAAATTTTTACCCTACATGTTTAAAATGCAATTTACACACACAATAGAAAACAATACATACAGTATGTCGGTTCCATATTTTGCATATTTTCTTATCAATTGAAAGAATATAATCGTCGTTCTGAGTGTGAAAATCAATACGTTTGATTGGTAGATTGTAGTTATGATCTTTAATAAAATATGGTTTATTCGATCGTATATCGAATAGTAATATCTAATGATAAAGAATCGCTCGAATAGATACTGCGAAGAGAGACTTCGAACTTACTTGCCCAGTGCTCGTACCAACAGATAAGTTAAGTGCATCTTTAAACTTAAGACAAGAAATCGCTGGTAAACTAAAAGAAAAATCTTCGAACGATCAATCCGTAAGTTGAATACGATCATCTACCTGTTACCACTATTGCTATTTGCAAAAACAGCACAGTCGATTTGTCCTACAAGACTTCGTGCTCGGGGATCATAACATTCCAGTACTCCCTATTGCGTTAAGAAAGTGGAGAGTATTACCTGGACTATTGAATATCATCTAGAAAATTTACTTACTTCTACAGAACCACAAGCAAATAATTCATGTTCGGGATTGAATTGACAGGTGTTAAAACCTCTGAAAAAAGTATCACACTGTCAAATGAATGCAGTCGCGACTTTCGATAATCAATCATACGGTGATTTGCTTGATATGGGTTCAAGAAATTGTCCTTGTTCCAGATTAAACCGGTAGATTTCATTCCTTCAATTCAATATACAAATGGTATTAAAATACTTGAAAGCATAAGTGAAATCGTATTCTCACGTTGCGCCGACACAATACAAATCACAGGATGAATATCGGTAATCAAACTGTCGTCCCTGTTTCGGAGTTCGAATCGTATGATAATTACCGACTTGTGAATGAAATTCAATATATCGATTAGCATGCATAAAAACAATCTAATTATGAAGAAATAATCTTTCACCGCCCAATTCACCTTTGTCTTACTTTGGAATAATCTTCAGAAAGAATTTTCATTTGTATACATTCGTGATCAAAACATCGTTCAAATTTTAACGATAATTCATTGACATCATAACAACGAACACGTGGTTTATAAGAACCTACATAAACTCGCGAATTGTAATCGTTTCATGCAGTGAATAGAATTACCTGTGACGAAAATATACTGCCCATCGCGTGTCATCGATATTGAATTGCTTAACATAGGCATTTCAAAGCCTTGGATAAGTTCGATTCGTTGTTTGTCATCTAAAGATTTTCCCATAAGAACTCAAACGCAAGTGTAATTCAATACCAAATCTACCTGTTTCTTTCTTAGATTTCTTCTTTTTTGTATCATCCATCCACTAAAGTTCAAAGAGCAAAAATATTAAACGTCATCGAATATATTCGACATACTTCCGGCGCTGCTTGTTGGCCACATGTTAGATTATACACTCGAACATCGTTGACATTAGTTACCTGCATGGTTTAATCTGAAACTGAATCGAGAAACAGAAGAATATTTTCTAGTTTGATTGCCAAAATAAACCAAATTCACACGGAACTTATTGGTTTTTTTTTCGCACATTAAAAATAGAAACAGATAAATCGATTTGAACAACAACAACAACAACAAAAATGAAAATAAATTCATCTGTTTTGTTTCGAAATATTTTTTTTTTGTATACATGAAACGAAATACATAGGATATTATGTACTATCTATTATTTGTGACTGTTGCTGTTCATGTTTTATTTGTGCTTGAATCATCAGCGCGATTTGCCACTGTTTTAGTTTCAGAGCGTCAGTTTCATCGGGAATGACATGCGGTTCAATGTTTGTAAACCATGAACGATATTTGAAGATGAGAGAAGGATATTTTAAAAGAATGGAATCATAGAACCACTCAGGTGAAATAACATCCATTCGATGGTGGTAGTTTTCTTCGACTAAAGTGTAATGGTAAAGATTTTGATAGGATTTTCTTTCGTGCAGACTGATCTTACCAATTTCGATTGCTTTGTCACGAGCAAATCTGTCTGCTTCGTTAAATGTTAGATTTTCGTGATTCGGGTGATGAAGAAGACCTTCAACGATTTGTTTTTGTTCATAATTCGATAGTGGAGGTATGTTCGCTTGAATAAAATGACGGAGTGCAGGCAAAACTGTTGGATTCATCGGCAGGACAGGATACTCGTATTCTATTTCACTTTGTTTTACACATGTCGAGGATTTCCGACGGCTTATATCCGAATTCGTCACCTAAATAGATAGTTATGGAGATATTTCTTACAGCAAGAGTTCTTACTGTTGAATTCGCGTTCTTTCCATTCTGTCGTTTCTTTAGTACTGGTTCATCGAGTGTACTTTCAATAGAAATATTTCGACGACGGTTACCTAGAAGAACATATTGAAATAGTATTTATGGCTCGAAACTCTATTTCATACTATTTTTCGACGATTTCTTGTTGGTTTTTGCAGCATTTAACAGATCTTTGAATTCTTCAATACGTTCATCTCTCGTCATGGTTAACGCACGATCAGCTAACTCAATGGCTCCATCCCTGAGATTAATTCAATTCATATTAGGTTTCATCTATCGAAATTTGTTTACCATTGCACGCGTTTTTTCACAGAAACTTTCAATTGATAGCGATTTGCCAATTCGACCTTTTCGGATTTTGTCACCGCCTGACTAGGCAGTGAGATTAGAAAGAAACTAGGGGAGAGAGAGAGGGCTCTTACCTTCTGTACAGCGGCTTCAGCATTTTCGATAAAATCGTTCAAACCGGAATACTTTAACAACGAACGCGTTGACAACCATGCGTATTCAAGATATTTTCCATAAAAATAAACGAAGAATTGTCGTTTGGGTTTATTATTCGAATCTAAAGATATCCAAATTAGCTTTATCTTAGTATTTATCCGACTATATTACTTAGCGTTCTTGTATGTGAACCTCCTTCACCATTCGATCGATACTAAAAGACACATGCATTTAGTAGAGAGTTTTCCTTCTCGAAGTGAAAATTTTACAGACAATAAGCGCTGGCCACCAAGGGAAGCTACCAAGTTTCGACCAAACAACATCGCCAGGCTCATAAAGATCAGCACCGGGAACAGTATCATTAGTGGAAATAACGATTTTTGGCTTTTGTTTGTTTACAACAGGTGTTGAATCGACCGTCTTACTAATATGTTCAAAAATAAATTGCGGGTCTTGTTTTATACGTCGCAGACGTTTTTGTGACGTCGATTCTACAAAGAATTCAGAAATTCAAGCAATTTTTGAAGAATTTTACAATGTACCTGGAGACGTAAGATCTGTCGTCATAAATGTACAATCTGAAAGGAAAACATATTTGTTCAAATGACATCTATCTCTTTATCATGACGAGAAAAATACTGAAAATTTTCATAAACAACTTTCTACAGTATTTCATATAATCTAAACCTATGGAATATAAAAATTTAATATAAACGTCGCTCTAGATTCCAATGAGCGTGTAATATTGTTGCTAATTGCCATTTTTTCAAATGAATTCTATCTGTATTTGTTGGCATTAAAGTCGGCTGAAAATCTTGAAACCATTGGCGATGTTTAAGAATAATTTGAGGATATTTTAGTAAAAAGTCATAGAAATAATCACTTTGGACGTATAACATTTTATGACGAAAATTTCGTAAGGCAATACGAATGACATATTGTTCAACATACAACTGAGCGTCCGTGAACGTTAATGATGCACCTGATCGATGATGAATCAATTGATTAACGAGGCAAATCTCTTCGTAGAGAGTTAATGATGGAAGGCCTGAGATAATCGTTGAATTTACAATGAAGTTTGTAGAAGAAAGTACATACCTTTATCAAGAAAATGACGAATAGCTGCTGTTAGTGACACAGAAGAAGGTCGCGTGGATGAATTTAGTCGTAGAACAACAACATCATTATCTAGTTCATTCGTTGTTGCCACTTGCAATAATCGTGACTAAATACAAATGAAAGTGAAAACAGGTTTGATGAAAAGCGGATCTTACTGTTGCTTTTGTTACTTGTTCAGTCTCTCTTATACTACTCAGAATCGAAGGGTATGGTAATGTTCGTTTGACTTTTTCAAATGCATCTGATCTCACGAATGTCCGTTTCGATAAACTGCGTGACGACGAAAACGTTTGAATCGATTGTTTTTTATAATCATTTGACTGAAATAATTACTCGTAGTTCTTGTTGAACTTCATCGTTTGAGTTATCGCATAATGGCACTTGTTCTTTAATTTGATACGTAACTGAATTTTTAGTTTCATCGATAAATCGATGAACTATTTTCTGAAATGCGCTCATGCGCATGTTTGTTGGCAGAGTTAACAATTCATTGGCTTCGTTTATCGCTTGTTTCCTATCATCAATCAAAGCTGTATACGAAATTTTACAAAAAAATTCTACCAGAATGGATGTAATTCTTCAGATATATTAATTTTGAACTTTTTACGTATTTTCTCTTCAACTTGTTTCGTTGATGCCTAAGGAAATATTACATTGATCGAACGTGTTTTATCAAATGTACACCAGTACTTGTTTAGCCTTTTGTTCTGAATATACTAGAAATTCGTCTAGACCTTCGTATCGATGAAGACATGCTTCGTGAACCCATAAATACTAGAACTAATCGATAGATCAATAAGCAATAGATTTTGATCACATACTTTGAAATGAGAGCCAAAAGAGTAGATGAAATATTGCTTTTTCGTCGGTAATCCAGGTTTTGCTACAAATTAGGCAATGAATTGTAGATAATTTATTCAATGAATGACTTACATATTACTTTAACGTAATTACCATCGTCCGAAAAGCAGCCTAGATTGTAAAATGGTCATTTATCATCTGTGGAGATCGTCTGTTTACCGTAGACAAAAGCTGGCCACCTAAAAGTACATCTTATCATAAAAACTACTCGTAATCCGATATCTTACCATGTCAATCCATTAAGTTTTGCCCAAACCATATCTCCGATCTGAAAGCCATTTTCCAAAATATCGAATATCGAAGAATCCGGTATATCATCATCCACTTGTTTTCGTTTCAATTGAGTTTTACCTAAATAAACGAGCTAGTCCGTCATTTCTCTCGAAGGAGTTCTGCCATGTTACATTTCTCTGTTGAATTCGTCATCTACAAGAATAGATTGATCGTTTATTTCCGTATTGCACTCATCGTAAGAATAATAAATGACTTTTTATTGTGATTACACAATGTACACAAAAATAAGAAAGAGATAAACTATTTTTTGGCATTGATGATCATATCTCGCAATTGGCATTGTTTCAAATAGATTGAATCGTCCATGATAGGTTTGATTTCATCATGAAACCAATGAGAATATTTGGAAACTATTTCTGAATGATTGAGAAGAAAATCTATTCGACACAAATGACAAACAAGTGAGTATCGAGAACAAGACATTTACCATAGAACCATTCGATTTGTACACAGGACATATCATAGTGAGAGTTCTCTTTGATTATATTCCTAGCTAACTGACATGCGAATGCTTGTGCTTCATTCAATTTGAAATTTTCGCCTTTGGGATGAGTGAGAAGATCGTTGATAAGTCGTTTTTCTTCACGTTTAGTTAACGTAGGTAGACCAACATGTAACAAAGTTGTCGAGGCTATTAATGGCTGAAAACAACGATAGGTTTTCTATGTGTTGAATGCTAGTTTGAATAGACTACCGTAATGCTTGTCTTTTGTCGTTTCACTGATGAACGAGTTGTTGATTTATTTCCCGATGAGGATGGTGATAGAGTTCTTCTCTAGATGAGAAAGAAAAAAAGATAGAGATGATATGTCCGATGATTGGACAGTCAATAGTTACGGATGGTCGTGCCGTTCCGGAACTATGTCTTCGCTTGGTTGATTTGTTTTCTAAATCAATGAGAATGAAATGTCTGATTACACAAAGAGCTTAAGTTAAACCTTCAGCATTCTTTAAGATTTTTTTCAGTAATTCTTCGAAATTTTTCACACGCTCTTCTCGAGATAGTTTCAATGCTTCATTGGCTTCTTCAATAGCTTTATCCCTAAGGAAGAAATCGAAAAATCGGATCGAAATTGTTTCAAACATTCTTACCAGTCGGCTCGTTTACTACCAGTGACTTTCAATTCAAAACGATTTGCCAATGCACCCTGCTCTCCTCTGCGTGATGCCTGAAGCACAAAACAAACAGCAAGGTCAATTTTGTATGTTCGAAGAAAAGATCACCAACATTTTGTATAGATGTTTCCGCGTGCCTTATGAAATCTTCCAGACCAGCATAAGGCATAAGAGCATTAGTTTGCAACCATGCGTACTCAAAATCAGGTCCGAAAAAGTAAACAAAATATGCACCTGAAACAATCAATCTTATGTCGAAGATAAATCTTGGAGAGAATGTTCGTACGTCTCTTTCCACGTCGAGCGGTTTTCATAATTTTTGTATGAATTTTATCTTCGTAGTACGAGCCTAGACGAAACAATGATAGTTTGCCATTAGATCGAATTTAGCGGTGTTTTACCATAAACCAACGCTGGCCACCACGGATTACCGACTACTCGGGCCCATAAAATGTCTCCTACTTGAAATAAATCAGATGGATCTTCTTCTTCTTCTTCTTCGAATTCATTGTCATCGGCAATAGGCTCTTCGACTGGCTTTTCAACTGGTGGTTTAGATTTAACTGTTGATAAACGACATGATCGAATCGATCGACGAGCTAGAATAGACGAATATAGAAATCTGTGTGCACAAATCATGCTAAATCTCACTTGCAGGTTGTTCATCAACTGTTGGACTATCAACCATGATGATACTCGAATGAATGACTAGTAGTTTTCATCAAAAAACGTAATTGAAACACTTTTTTTTAGATAGGATATTATGAACAAAGAAATGAAGAAATCTGGTTGGTTAATGATGATAATCAATTAACTTTTAGACACCAACGATTCTTTACAATTTTTACAGATTTTCTTGGAACATTTGTCTGTTTGTGAATCTATAGATTGATCAAAACGAATTTGAAATACATACTGAAAACCTTCCTTTCGACTGGCGCCATCTATCACAGTTAATTATACTCCCAGTTGATATCCTAATTTACGCGCGCAAATCATTTCCTAACAATTCCCATAATTTCACACAAGTATCCGGATGAACTTTTTATGGATATCTTTTACTTTAAACGGACTTTTTCATGTTTGTCTCATATCTACATCTTATCTTTTTTTAAAATACCCCATGACACCAGAAGGGTCTGCTCGTCGTGTGTTACTTTGTTTCTTGCCTGCTAGTAATCAACAAGATAGTTCTCAACATTTTCAAGTCTATCGAGTCGAATAGTGCATCACATAATGATCGTGATATTTCAATGCTTCCTGCTGCCTTTTTGAGTGAGAAATAATGCTCTTAAGACTTCAATACATATTAAAAGAAATTATTTCTCATTTATTAGTCATTCATTTTCGACATGCATTGCATAAACATTACTCCTAATCGACTTTCTTATATGCAGACCTCCTTCTTTCCTTTTTGATACCAAACGTGTCAAACGACAGATATCTAATGACGGATAAATAATGTATTCGATTTCATTCCACTTATAATCTTTCGGGATTAATATGTTAACCGACAGATGATTCAGTCACCAAACACAAAAAATTTCTTTTAGAAGTAATCTACTGGTGATAAGATGAAACGACCAAGTGTCAAAGTTCTTCTTTCTGCAGCAGTTATTCTCTGCATCCTTTCAACAGCTGGTTTGATAGCATTAATTGTCGTGTGGCAACAAAAACTATCTCCATTTCAAGATTATGCTCTAGTCGTCGATGCTGGTTCAACCCATTCGAAAATCTTTCTCTATACGTAAAATAAAACGTCTTTTTTCATCCTCACACAGACAACTTCTTCTTTTAGCTGGCCAGCAGATAAATCCAATGGACTCGGAGTTACATCTCGTGTCACACAAATCAAATCCTGTAGTCCAGGAGGTGGTGCGATCACGTCGATCACTGATCCAACTGAAGACAATGTCAAGAAATATTTTAATACGGCAATGATCGATTGTATGGATTCGATTCCATCGAATCGGAAAGGTCGAGCATTAGTTTTTCTCGGCGGTACGGCCGGTCTTCGTTTATTCGAAATGAAAAATGCTAGTTATACAAATACACTATTGAACAGTACACGTGTTTATTTCGATACTCTCGGTCTTCTCTTCAAAGCACCTGAAAATCAAGTTCGAATCATCGGTGGCAGTGAGGAGGGCTTATCTGGTTGGATATCAACAAATATGCTTCTGGAAGAATTATATAAAAATAATATCCCATCACAAACATACGGAGTGACAGATATGGGAGGTATAAATATATTTAGTCATATGATCTATGAGCAAAACACGCCTTAATTGTGTTTCTAATAGGTGCAAGTACACAAATAAGTTTCTACTCACCGAACGCGACCAACGAACGTTATGATATGAGTTTATTCAATACCGAATATGATATTTATTCTCATTCATATTTGTGTTATGGAGCTGAACAGTTTCGTTATGTTTATCTCGGTCGGATAATCAATAAAGCCGGTGGTTCCGAAACAATTTACGATCCATGTTTTCAAGATGGATTTTTTCAGAATTTTTCTTATAGTGATATCTTTACGTTACCTTGCGTTCAAGCTCGGTCACCTCCATCACCAGAACTTAATGCATCATCGACTTTTTCAATCATGTAGATAAAGTTTTGGACAAAATTTTTGAGCTCTTGTTTTTTGTTTCGTTCGTTCTAGTGGTACGGGAAATTATTCTCAATGTCTCGCGAATGTACAACAATGTTTGAATACATCAAAATGCAGTTTCACAAGCTGCAGTTTCGACAATGTCTATCAACCAAAACCAATCGAACCGTCACTCAAATTTATCGCTATTTCAGCTTGGTATTCAACATTTAACAGCTTAGCTCAAAATGTGACTGTGTCACCAAATAAAGATGGAAATTACGACTTCAATACGACGAAACTTTCCGATATCAAACGTGCTATTGAAGGTATATGCAAACAACCATGGGATTTTGTTCCAAATCCCGATAAATATCGGTCATGTAAGATATTTCTTCGTGAATAACTTTCTTTGTTTATTTACAACTCTTTAGTATTATGTTTCAATTCGATGTATCATTGGACATTGATGGAGTACGGATATGGAATGAATGATGATAATATGAAAAATTTTCATATTATCAAAACAATTGGCGGAAGCGAGATTGGTTGGACATTAGGTTATATGATCAATCAAACAAATTATCTGGAACCGGAATATCGACCGGCACGATTATTAACGAAAGGAGAATTCGGTGGTTTATTAGTTTTATGTTTATTTTTCCTACTTGTCAGTATAATCATGGGTATAGCGTCAATCTATTTTTGTAATCGACACCGCAATTATCGACAAACGTAGTGGTTTTATGTCATTAATATAGAATAAAATCTTATTTTTCGGACAAAAACTTCTCTGTCGGAGATGATAGTTTCACATATTCAATCAGATTTTGATGAACACGTGATGACTTTTCGTTTGATGAATCATTGGAATATATTCGATAGTATCGATAGTGATCACTAATCATTTTTGACAGTAAATATCCGACAAATAACACCATCGGCTGTTTTTTGCTTAGACAATCTTTGATAAACTTCTCTTCAATCCACAAACGATAGTCTGACCAGTTGTTTCCTTGGCTGAGAACATTCCAAAAGTATTTTAATGTTCTAAACGGCAAATACTGTCGAGCTGTTCGTCAGAAACAAGAACAGATCATCTACATGTACAAGTTAGGATTCTCTCGTCGAAATATTCGCCATGTTTGACGTAATCGAAAGATCGATGGATGATCAAAAGTTGCTAAGATCAGACGAATACTCTGGAGATCATGATTTACTGTAAACAATTGTTGAATAACCTAGAATGATGATTGTTACACATGCATGCTCATACTCCTTGTAGGGTATTGGCCGACAGAAGCAACAACTTACTAAAACTAAATGCTTGATGATAGATGCTCGTTGTTCCAATAATTGATGTTTGAGTATTTGTGTGGCAAATAGTCGAACAGTTCGATCATAAAATGCAAATATTATTGTGAGATTGGGTGCAAGAGTTTTCTGTGGAAGAAAAACATCAGATAAGTGAAATGAGTTGTTTTTTCTAGAGTTCGACCTTTTCAGTGGATAGAAAGGCAAAGTTTATGAGTTCTTCTGGTTGGATAAGTAATAGAAAATGTCGATTGAACAATGTGAGTTGAGTGGCGATGTCCACTGGCTGATATTTTCGAATATCATCTGCATCGTAGTCTATTTGTATATTGTTCAATGATTCAGATGATGTGTCAGATTCGAATTTGATAGGAAACATGGGTGTGCGGAAAAAGAAGAAAAAGACTCGCGCTTGAATTTATTTCAAAACTAAGATCACGACAAGAAAATGATAGTTATTATTATTATTATTATTATTGTGACAATGTCAAGGGCGTTGTGCAAAGTGTAGATTTGAATTGTTTGACAAAATCTACTAAACATTTTCTCAAACATCCTTCGTGAGCCTGAACGACTCCATTGAGTTGAAGTATTTGCTGTGAACTTGCTTGACGACGAACCAATGCACTATTAATAATAAAAAGAAGTTAGGCTCCCTGGATGAAAAGTAGGGAATCGTACTGAGTCGATTTTGTTTGATCAACAACCGATGCTGAACTTATACTGATGCTCACTGTTTTTATTGCCAGATTCAATAGCTAGAAAGACAGATAATCCATTATTTCGAGTATAAATTGATATCTTCATCAACCTGATTATGGAGATGATCACGTTGACTGTCAGAAATCGATCCAGCTGCAACTGTTCCATTACTCAATTGATAAGATACGCTGAACGGAATGCTTCCTAGATAACAATTTCAAGTGGATATGTCGTAAACGAGCGAATTAAGGCGCAAGTTAATCTTTACCGTAGTACGGTGAATGGTCTTCGGATAAAAACACTGGAATCAGAGAAGGAATGAGAGTTATTACAATAGCTCCTAAGCCAGTAACGATAAAACAGATTGATGCTAAGCTATTGAACAAGTTTAAATAAGTATTAAAACACAAATATATGCGTAACTTACCTTGTATAAAAGTACATTTCTGGTGAAGCTAGAAAAGATACTCCGAACAAAAAGATATTTATAATATCGTCTTTTCAGTACATTTTTTAGAATGAGTAAATATCACGAATCAATGACTTTGAATATATGTATGTGCTAGTTTTATCATGTAAACAAGTGTCGTCTTTGTCAGTCGAGTGATTATCGTTTAAAATGAATCACTTCCTTCGTTTAATTAAAGCATCGGAAGTTAGGTTTTTCTTAATAATATCAGATTTTGAAGGTAATTAGACAGACATGACGAAAACAAGTTACAAAAAGTATATTTGCTTGATTTATACCAAGTTTATGATTTTACTGAAGCTTACGTCATTTGCCCGGCGTCGTCCTCATTCTTATACTTGCCAATCTTATCAATATTTTGCGTTTGTTATAGAATCAATTGAATATGTGTATATATATGTAAATGATAAGCCATGTATTTAGTCACTTATTTTGTTTTCTCAAGGTAAAAACTTGCCTAAGATGCACAAAGTCCATTTTAGCGTTGCTGCTATCCTTGTACTAGCAGTAATTCGTAATAGTGAATGTTTTACAGCCGGATGGGGTGGGCTTATTCCATTAACGAGTACAGAAGTGTCATCATCTGGTACAACACATTATGCCATAACTGAATGTGCATTGCTCCGAATTGCAGCAGATTACTTAACGAAAGTACATGGTTCAACAGATTTAGATGGCATCGGCAGTTCGACAGGTGTTTGCTCCAAAGTAAAAGACGATTTTAATTCGATCGAAAAAGAAGTTAAACGCCTTCGAGTAAGCAGTACATTTCGTTCAGCTGTTTATGCTATTTCGACGGAAAACGTCTTTGTCGATGGTTTGGAGTGGTATAATGAAAGGTCACACTTTGATGGCGAAACTTTTACAAAAGCATCCGGATTAGTAGCCATGCGATTAAATTCTGCTAAGAGTAATTTAGAAGCTGATAATTTGTATCACGCCCGGGCTTATTTTGGTCAAGCTATGCATACGTTGCAAGACTTCTATGCTCATTCAAATTGGATTGAACTTGGACAAACTGAGCCCAACACGAATATTGGTAGTGGTATTATTCTTGGTAAATATGCATCGAAGAGTATGCCAACTTGCAAGAATTGCAATAGCACAGATTGCGCGAAAGATAATATTTTGCCTGAAATAATTAAAAATGGTTGGTTGACCAGTGGCTATTTTGGTTTAACACCTTTAGCAAAAAAGCCGTTGGGTAAATGCAGTCATGGTGGTTCAGCTGATGCGACAACAGATGAGGAGGCAACTGGCTATGGTATTAATAAAGATTATGCTACTTCTGATCACGGCATGTTTTACCATTATGATGCAGCTCGAGTTGCGTATGAAGCTACAAAACAAAAACTTTCTCAGTTATGGACACAATTTGGTGATACTACATTCGGTCGTTTTCTTGGCCTCGAAACCACAAGTCTTGCGATTGCAATTGATACAACAGGTAGTATGGCTCCGTACATCGAACTAGTCAAACAAATGGCTATTCGCATCGTGCAAAGCACAACTGGTGATTCAGCAGTACTTCGTCCACGTAAATATATTCTGTCTCCATTCAATGATCCTGACTATGGGCCACTACTAGTGACAACAAATGCACAGGTTTGCTTGTCTTATTCATTGATTTCAAATGACAAACTGCCTACTTTAGGTATTGATTGACGCCATCTCTGCCTTGACGGCATTCGGTGGAGATGACTTACCTGAACTATACTATCACGGATTGAATGAAGCATTGAGTGTTTGTGAACGTGATTCAAGTGTATTTACATTTACCGATGCGCCGGCCAAAGATGCCTATTTGAGAAGTCAAGTACTTGCTAAAGCTTCAGAAATGAATATTCGTGTCTATTCATTTTATGCGGGTGTGGTATATATTGGCCGACGAAAACGTCAATCCACTGGTACAACTGACAGTATCGAAGCATTAGATGGATCCGATGGACATGATATTGCTTCAGCTACTGGAGGATTTACCATGGGAATCCAAGCAGGCGATGCAAATGCTACCGCAGAATATGTCATGGGCCGTTTAGCACGGCCTGAATCTATACTAACAATCAATCTGCCTGGATCGACCAACTTAACATTCGAAGTTGACGACTCAATAACTGTCATAAATATCGATGTTAGTTCAACACAGATATTATCTGGTTCTGTAGAACTTATTGATTCTAAAGGGAATTTGTTGAAACCAACACCGATAGCTGCTTCTAATTTCTTTAAATTGTATAAGATACAAAATGCAATAGCTGGTACATGGAAACTACATTCATATTATGGTGGTAAACATAGCATTGAATTAAGTAGCGATACTTCGATTTCTTGCACAACAACACTCTGCGAAGTACACAAAGGACATGCGATTGAGTATATGCCTTTGAGAGATGCTCCACTAGTTAATCAAACAGATCTTGCTCTACTGACTGTATGTGAAAATTTACCTTCTAATATTACAAAGGGATCTGTTAAATTGATTAATAACCAAGGTACAATCATAACTGAACTGTATCCATCGACATTTGGTAAAAATGGTTTTATTACGTCGATTCAAATACCTGATGTTGACTTTCGCATGTTAACAACTGTTACTCTTGCCGATGGCAACAATATTCAACGTCAAGCTCCACAACTTATATCACCCACCACCATCAAAATTGATCTTACCAATCAACCTTATATTATTACTGGTAACACTACTCTGAATATGACATATACGATCTACAATCGAGCACAAACAACTCTCAACATTACATTATGCATAACAGATTCTATGAAACTGTTGAATACAACTGAAAAATGCGTTTCACCATATGTAATTCCAAGTCAAAACAGCATCACAGACCAACTACCAGTATCCAACACATACAATCCGAATATAACCACATCTGTTTTCACATTTACTATAAGTGCACCTGCAAACGATAGTGTGAGCGCTCCAAAAGTGACTAATTACAAGACTGTGACATTATATACGGAAGATAAAACTTATGAGGAAGCATCACCAACAAACAGTGGTTTAATTTTGCTTACTCCATTGTGTAGCATTTAGCGTATTGAAATAAACAAGACTCAAAACTGTTCGCATAAAATCTGTCCTTCTTTGACGGGCATTGCTATAGGCATGGGGAAACTCCGGAGCCAACGATTCCATTGGAAATCCGTGTTCTGTTCGTTGTAGTTTTACTTCTCGTATCATGAAGAAATATATCGGTGTAGGTCTGATCGCCGACGAAAATGAAGAATTGCGATAGATAAGATGTAAAAGCGAAGTTTGATGCATCCGACGCGTACCGAAGATCATTTTGTGGTGTTTGAGACAGGATTTTTCCAGTTGTTTGATTAATTTCAGCTATGATGAACGGTTGACCTTCAAATAAAACGAATAATCTTCCATCGAGTGTCTTTGTTAGTTCTCCGCGAGCACTAATTTTCGAATTATAATAACTAACAATTGAAATTTCCAAAATAGTGATGTCTAGAGTTGCTAAACGGAAGGGCGGATTCGATGTGTCACTGGTTATGTACAATAGTTCAGTATTTGTCGAATAATCATTGATAAAATTCATTCCAAAAAGAATAAAACCTTCCTGTCCAGAGACATACGATGTTGCTTGACATTGCCGAGTATTGACATCAAATGTGTATAAATTTCCATCGGTGAATAAGATCCAGACTGTACCAGTACTTTGTACAGCCATCGAATACGGATATGCAGTTGTCGAACAAGTCAAACTTGTGATCAGTGTTGTCGCAGATGTTCGAGGATTGAATTGAAAAAAATTCGCATCTTGATCTATAATGTAAATGTATCTTGACGTTCCTGATTTGCACGCACTCGAAGGAAATCGCTCATTAGGATCTGAAATAGATCAGAGTAATTAGAGCAGACAACTCATTCATATAGAACCTATGGAAGAAAATGCGCAAAACGCCATTTGAATATTTGATTGCACACTGTCATCTAATACCATATCGACATTGAGTCGATGATTATACTTCCGAATATTGTTTTGATATTTCATAAGATATTTCTCTCGACATGTAGATGAGTGACACGTTGATGGCAATTCAATCATATTCTTTGTACTAAATAAATCACCTGTTAGCTCAGTCGAGCCTTCACATGCTATACTTGCACTAATATAAATGAAACTCATAGGAAATATACTTAAATACACTATTTCAACCTGTCAGATGTTTGTCTCCTTTGCTTATTTGATGGTGTTGCCGTTAAAAATTCACCTGGTATAGTTTTCATTCGAGATAAGTCGGGCATATTCTTCGTCAGCTGAATTAAATAAAACTTTTGTTAAGAAAGATTACACAATCATTTTATATACCACGTACCTGCGAAGACAGATCATTTGGATCAGATAATGTTTGAAATCGGCCATAAATCACATCCGATGAATAGATTGTGTAAAATGAAAGCTCATCTGAACAGACAAAGCGATGCTTTCTAACTGCAACACATATTTACCTAAAAGAACCTACTGAACTGTGTGCTAGAATGAACATCGTTTGTTGTCAAGTATACTGGTATCAATCCAAGTACAATGGTTCCGGAGACTAGTAAAAATATGATTACAATACCGCATAGTGCCAGTTGAATTGCCCATCGTGATCTGTAAGAAATGACATGTTGAAAAGGAAATTTCCTCATTTTACCCACTGAAAGACACGATATTGTGACGCACTGTCAATGGAAAACGAAGTAATATCACTTACTGTAATAAATATTGATTAGATTGCTGAATATTCATTATACTCTCACATTAATATTTGATGCACTGAGCGTAATGTGGATGCAATGAACCGAAACAGAAGTGAGATGACATGCGCTTTTTCAATTGATGATTGAAAAATTTTTCGGCAAGATATAATAAGTGACAAAAAGAATATTTTTTTTTGCATAGACGTACGAAGGAATGAAATATCAAGGTATAAAAACAACTGGTTATTCAATTTCATGGGTGAAATAATTATCGATATATGTACATATCATATATAAACATAGAATGTATAGTATGATAGTTATTGAATATTTTGTTCGATTACTTATTGGCTCTTTCTTGGTATCTCGAACAGATTCTGTGTCTATTGTTAATCGTCGGGTTGTGTATAATCTGAATGTATCCTATGCCGATGGTCCTCCATCAGTTGTGCTTATCAATAACCAAATTCCAGGGCCATTACTTGAAGTTGAACTTAATGATATCTTAGTCATACATGTCAAAAATTTCCTACCAGGAAATGAACGCTTATCCATACATTTTCATGGTATGCTTGTTCGACAAACTCCACATATGGATGGTGTTCCTTATATAACTCAAATGCCAATCGAAAGTCAAAATTCTTTTACGTATGTGTTTCGTGCTTATCCAGCTGGAACATATTTTTATCATTCACATGTCGGTTTACAGTCGATAACTGCATTTGGTGGGCTAATCGTGCATGACAGACGAAGACCTTGGAATATACCTGAATTAGGATCAGGACCGCTGCTGTTCTCAGAAAGCTGGACAGAAACTGATCATCTTAAACAAGAACAAAACCTGCTAGCATCACCATTTAGTTGGATGGGTGAACCGAGGTATTTGTATATCAATCATAAACGTGATTTAGTCATTGACGTTGATCCAGGAAAGCAATATTTAATACGATTGATTGGTGCAACGTCGTTATCTACAGTTGTTTTCGGTATTGATGGTCATCCAATGACAATCGTTGAAGCCGATGGATCGTTAATTAAACCGAGGGAAAATGTACAGTCACTCGAGCTTTCTTCCGGGCAAAGATACGCTGTTATTATTAAAACGAAAAGTGAAACAACAAATGGAATTTATCTTATGAAATTAGCTATTCGGTGGAGAACATTGGTGAATGGCTCGAGGTAATTTTCCTTATCGAGTTCGTCTTCTACGCAACTCATATCAATGGTTTATTTTAGTTGTACAGGTATATTACGTTACAGTTCGTATACCAGTACACTTCCTGCAGATCTATCGACTCTTACACCACCCACATTAGCAGAGAATCATGATCTACTATCATTTTCATATAATACACCGTTTGAAACGTTGCTGAGCATGTATCAAATGCCAAAACGGCAAGCTGATAGGGAAATTTTACTTCAAAGCAAACAAGTCCACACACCTGATGGTCGCGGCATGCGATGGATTATGAATAATGCGTCCTTGACTGAGGAACGCGTAACAATCTTAACTCGAGCATTGATCCAAGATGCATACAATGGTATTGACGGAAATTATCCAATCGATGCTACTTATACAATAAATCAAAACGAATTGATCGATTTAGTTATTCAGAACACGGTGGCAACAAATGGAGTTTGCGAATCACATCCATTTCATTTACACGGTCATAAATTCTGGATACATTCTCAAGGTACAGGAGAGTATACATCAGCATCAAAAAAAACTCCGGATATTGACAATCCAGTCTATCGTGATTCATTGACATTGTATGCAAGTGCATATGATCATTTGACACCAAATCGGTCAGTGAACAATTATTTAAAACCATGTGGCTGGGTTAAACTACGTTTTATTGCTGATAATCCTGGTCTGTGGCTATTACATTGTCATATCGGTGCACACATGTTCATGGGAATGACTGTATTGATAAGAGAAGATTTGGAACATCTCACTATGAACTCATTATCACAAAACTAATCTTTTGAAGCTTTCTTTTACTGTCATAGATTGATATTTCTGTTTAAGACATCGTCAGGCACAGTTGTATTTTGAATTATCTTGAAATGAAACAGAATTAGATTTGAATTACCGGCTTTTGTCTGTTCCTTTTTATGTTGATAAGTCGTGTCTTTAATAACGAGGTCGCTATAGTCATCCATGTGTCGAATATTATTGGTTTGAAAAATTCATTCTAATACACAATGGATGGATAGATAGACAAAATCTTTTCTCGATTCATATGAAAGTATCTGTCTTTCATTGACCACTGACAATGACTGGTATACTAAAGCGTCAACCATCGAATTCGACGAGTGAAGACGATGAAGGCATCGAATGTCCATTGAGTGGTGCTGAAGCGTTAGCAGTATGTAAAGAATTCGCTGCAGCAACCAGTACTGATACTGGATTGGCAATGATGATGTTACAAAAGAATGAATGGAACCTGGAAAAAGCGATCACTGCATATAATAATTCCATACGATCAAGATCGAAGTCAACAACATCAGCGAAACAAGTGAAACTCAACGCGCCAGCGTGAGTTAGTTATTTCGAAGAAAGATAATCGATTTGGTTTTTGTTGATCGTAGTGAAGCAGATGCTAAGCGAGCGAAAACGAAAGACGTAACAACTGTAACAGTTCCAGCAGAGGATCCAACGTTAAAAGCAAAAACACGGTTCAAGTTACTTTCATGGAATATCGATGGACTTGATGAACAGGAAAATACCATCGAAATACGAACACAGGGTGTGGTCGATGTGATTAAACGGTATTTATGGAAGAAAGTTTCTTTATTATCAGCATTTTCTCTACTCGTAGGGAAGAGCCTGATGTTGTGTTTCTCCAAGAAGTCATTCCAGTCGCTTTCGATTTAATTCGCAACTTGCTACCAGAATACGATTCTTACACAGGTTCGATAAGATAGAAAGGCTATATTTCTATTAGACCACCGATCTTCTAGGAAGCAACGAAGGATATTTTGTGGTAATACTACTTCGTCGTAAACTGTTTCAAGTCCAAAAATCTGAAATTATTGCATATCCAGGAACAAACATGGAAAGAAACTTGCTCGTTGTTCATGTACGTGTAGTGAATTCAAATATCTGGGTCAATTTTGTTTTTCTACTATAGGCAACCTACAAGAATTCAATTGAAATGGACCTAATGACATCTCATCATGAAAGTGGTACTGAAGAATTAGCAAGCAGAGAACGGATTGAACAATTGAAATTATGTTTCAAACACATGTTGGACGCACCTGCACATCGGATAGTTCTGTTTGGTGGTGATTTGAACGTCCGAGAAAAGGAAGTAAGATTCTACATACCAGATCAAAACTAGTCAGAAATTGTATTCGTACTGCAGTTACAAAAGGCAGGCAGTGTGCCTTCGGGCATTCATGATCTTTGGATTGAAACTGGCAAACGACCGGAATGTGCCTATACATGGGATATGAATCGAAATACAAATGTCTATTATCCATCAGATACTTATCGACCACGAGCTCGGTTTGACCGTCTTTATTATCGACCATCACAAGAAAGTACTATTCAATTTAAACCGGTATACTTTGAACTGGAAGGTTTAGAGAAATTGCCATCAATCAAACGCTTCTGTTCAGATCATTGGGCTATCCAAGCATATTTCGATATTTGATTAATTATTTTTACTAGATCTCATTTTCTCTTGTGATATTTTAATTCTAATAAATGAAAGATTAATGATCGTTACTATCATGAGACTCTCCAAGTGCCGAACATGAAATCACTGTAGTCTTGGAAAATCTGCCCTATTTCTGTCACGTATATAAAAGAAAATTAAATAACGTGATCTTTTACGGAAAGCGAATGTGTTATAATTAAAAACATTACGATCACGTAGATATGCAACGTGAGAAAGTAGGCACATAAGTTTTTTTGCGCAACGCTGAAAATCTGAAGAAGATTAAGTTGTGTTGCGAGAGGAAAATTTCCAAATCAGTCGTGAGTGCACGATTCTTAATCAATGTGAAACGTATTACTCTCGAGTAAATTAATTCATGAAGTAGATTACTAGAGATATGATTAATAAATTTCAATATCTTCTTCATCTTCGAATCAGAAAGGCCATAACAGACGGGTCTGGCGCTTTAATTGCGCATCTACCAGATTCATATTTTTATAATAATTTAAGAAAGAAATGACGATGATAGTTAATGTTCAGAAGCATCTATTGAAAATTTTCAGCAAATATGAGAGCATAACGACAAATGTCGATCTATTGACGTCACTCGCGGTATGAAACAAGCAAAGAGCGGAAATACATGTTCTATACATTTTCGATAATTATAGGTAAAGATTATAGGAGTTCTCGATGGGATTACTTGACCTCACTCGACGTTTCTTTTCCGTTTCTCGGTGTAATCAGTTGTCCTTTTTTCTTTCCTAAGACCATCTTCCGTGAGGATTAATTCAATAGAGGCAACCAGTCGCATCAGTAGTAATAAATGCAAGATGAGAAATACAGCAGGCGACTCGTGTCTTTTGTTGAAAAGTGTCAGCGGAGGTGAGTTTGTATATGATGTTTATTCATGCTAACATAATCAGTTTCAGAACTCAGTAAAGGCCTGAAAGAAATAGAATAGAGGTAAAGCGCGAATAAAGAGGAAAAGGTGAGAATGACGCGTTTTCAAAGAAATGCGATAGACATTAAAAGAAAGAAAGGAAGCAACTGAAAGAAGATTACGGATAATAGATTTAGATAGACAGAGAGGAGAAGAAGAAGAAGAAGAAGAAGAAGAAAAGACACGCAACATTTTTGTATATATTTCTGCTATATACAAATTCAAGGTAATTTCACAAAATATGTTGAATTAAGCAAAAAAAATCAAGATGTTTTGTGAACGTTTGATCTGTTTTTGTTGCCCGCCGACAAATAAACCCAATCGAAGCGTTGTACCAATTCAAGCACCTGAAATACCGCCACCGGTGCCGGCTCCAGCAAAAATTAAAGTAAAGAATAAAAAATCCGATCTAAGTATGTTTTGTTTTCTTACGGCAACGAACTAGTTTAATTATTATATTCATAGCGTTAGCGGCTGTTGTTATTATTCAATCATGGTTTCGACGAAGACAAGCTCGTTTCGAAATACGCCGGAAGGCAGCATGGACGATCTATCAAAATATTGAATATGCTGGCGAACAAGATCAACTTAAGGTAAACAATCAGATAATCATCTTTCTTCTTCGAACGAACGACTCTGCTTCTGATAGTTGTACAATTTCTTCTTGGATCTCATGCAAGCAGTGACGAAAAATCCGCGCGATGCACTCGTTGTGGCTAAAGTTCTACGGCGAACTTCTAGTCTAAGCGGTGCAGGTAAAAAACACACTCCACAGTTCAGTGCTGATAGTTTGTACATTTATCACTTATCTTTCTAGCTGAAGATATCGAATTGGTCAATATCACTGGACCAGATACAGTCTTTGTTGAGCCATCGTATAAGGGACCGCATATTCAACTTCCGATTAATAAAGAACAATTCGAGTCATTAATTCTAGCTTTCCAACGAGGAGAAGTAAACAGAACAATTTTCACTCGAAAGAACTTTCTTGATCTCTTTCTCATTCAAGTCTCTTCATGCGCATTATGTTCTATTAATTTTGCATGAAGTTCGAAAGATACTCAAACGTTTGCCAAATGTAAATATTGTTTCTACGCATCACTCAACATTTGTAACGGTTGTCGGCGATCTCCATGGTAACTTATCAGACCTAATGTTAATCTTCCATAAGGTAAATATCAATGTTTGTACGCGGAATTCGATATTTATCATATTTTATCCAGAACGGTTTGCCATCGAATGAAAATCCTTATATATTCAATGGTGATATTGTCGATCGTGGACCTCACAGCATGGAACTATTTCTATTGATCAGTGTTGCTTTTATTGTCTATCCGAATAATGTTTACATAAATCGAGGAAATCATGAAGATCACGTACTGAATCTAAGGTATGCATGTCTTGTAAAACAAGATTATTACTCACTGTCTGCTTAGATATGGCTTTATGAAAGAAATCATTCGCAAATACAAATCACAATCGACGAAACTTTTGCATTTATTTGAAAACATTTATAGTTGGATGCCTGTGGCAAGTTTAATTGACGACCACATCTTTGTTACTCATGGTGGTATCAGTGATATAACCGATTTGAGCAAAATCAATCAAGTCAAGCGAAATAAAGTCTGTTCGAGTGCACTTAGTCGTGTCAAATCGATTTTCTTGTTGATGTTTAGTACGTTTCAATTCTGAGTCCAAGTTTCATCATACCTGAAAATGATGAACAATATCAAATAGACGGTCTTTCCAACGAGCAACTACTCGAATGGAGACAAATGCTCGACTTGCTCTGGAGTGATCCGAAGCAAACGAACGGTTGTGAAGCGAACACTTATCGTGGTGGTGGATGTTATTGGGGACCAGATATAACAGAAAAGATTCTAGAAAAACATAAATGGAGTTTGCTAATTCGGTCACATGAATGTAAAGAAGATGGTTTTGATTATTGTCATGATAAAAAGGTTTCCTTTCTCATTCTCCTCTAATTTAGCATTATTCGATGTGAGTGCTTCTAATTTCTAGGTGCTAACAATATTTTCCGCATCAAACTACTATGCAGCGGGCAGTAATCGCGGTGCCTATGTGAAGATTTCCAAGAACCAATCACCAGCAATTGTACAGTTCATGGCAACGAAAACAACAATCAAACCGTTGACACTTTGGGAAAGGTGTGTGAAACCAGAAAAGTCTAACAGGAGAAAATCGACTGTTTCTTTCGTAATAGAGTATCGTATGTCGAAGAGCAAGCGCTCCGAAATCTTTTGGAAAAATTCAGTGCAAATAAAAGTCGGTTGATGAAAGAATTTCTCCTCAAAGATCCGAACCGAACTGGTAAGAAATTCTCGCCATCTTCTATCTAATTGCTCGAGTGTAAGAATTTTTAACGAATTGCATGACAATTCTCAATATATCACATTTAGAAACGGAAATGAATGTCTAATTTTTAAATTAGAATAATGAGATATCCAAGGTTATATAGTATCAAATGATAACAATAATATCAAATTTTGTCTCAAAGAAAAACCTTGATATTCTCGGGTACAATCATTTATTCTAACGGAAAATCTCTAATTTAGGGCGTATCCTATTGAATGACTGGTGTGATATTGTCACCCACGTGCTGGAATTGCAATTACCATGGCGAACGTTGAAATCACGTCTGGTTGATATCGATCCTGATGGCTCGGTTCTGTATGAAACGACATTTCGCTCGCAGGAATTACAATGCGCACTCAATTCGAAATTGACAACTGTAAGTTGACTTGACTTCTTTGCCATTGAACTCTTTTCCTTAAATTTAGAGAAGAGAAAGTTTGTGTCAAGCGATATACCGTAACAAAGATCTACTTGAAACAGTCTTTCGAGCTATCGATCAAGATAATTCAGGTAAGGAACATAGTTCACAGATTTTCGCGGTCGGAATCCGATTTTCTAGGCGTCATTTCCATGAAAGAATTCACCGATGTATGTGTATTTCTCGGCAATCACAATGGATCAATATTTGACGAAAAACAAATCATGGATTTAGCATCAAGTATTGATCTCGATAAGAATGGTGTTATTGATTTCAACGAGTTTCTTGAAGCATTCCGCATTGTCGGCGCGGATGATATCAATCGAAAACGAGCTAGTTGATTTGTATATAACCAAATTCGTCAATAAAACTGAATTGAATCATCATGTGTCAGTCAAATCAATGATAAATAGCAGAAATGCGAAAGGTCAATGATCGTTTGTATTTTGCACGTATATCTGGAACTTGTCAGAAAGTATTTGTCTTCTTCATGATTAATCATTCTAAGACAGGACTGACAAACGGATTCGTATATCAAATCTGGTAAAGCTCTTTTTCGTTTTTATTATGATATCGCGTTGTTGGATTTCATCTACATACAAATTGAGAGCTGATGAGGAGAAAAATAATAAATTGAGAGAGAAAGAGAGATTTGGATGCATTGTATAACGGTAGCTAAATTTGATTGAGAAAACGAGAGAAGAAAAACAAGAGAGAGAGAGGAGAGCAAAAAGAAAACAAACAAAGAGAATTCAATACTGGTTTCATTGATAAATTTAGTCTCATATTGAGCAATATCGAGAGAGAGAAAGGGATATTCTTTGTCTAAAATCATTTGATTTTGTTATCTTAGTTTATACGATCGATCAGATGTAAACAAAAATTTTCATGTTTTGACTAGACAGATAAGAAAAACGAACAGACACCAAGAAAAAAAAAGGAGAAAAGAAAATAATAATAATAAGCCCATGAAGAAAGAAAGCATATGATTGCCAGTAGTAGATCTATGTGTATATTTGGAGATTTTGTTTTTATAAAAGCACACAACAGCCTTGGTTATTGCCATTCGATGTTGCATGTAAGGGATCAGCATGTACACCATCTATACCAGATTTGCCACTTGATACAGATGGATTGGGATTTTTACTTTTCATTTTTTTATCTTTGTTAACTGGCGTGCGTTTATTGATTTGACGGACAAGATCGAAAAAGATCTAATTGGAGAAAAAGTTGTTTTGAAATTTTCTATTGAAGCAAGTGACGACTTACTTCATTCACGTTTATCTTTTGTTTAGCTGATGTTTCAAGAAATGTTGAACCCCAATTTCTCGCTAAGGTTTGCCCGACTTCTTTTCCCACGACACGTTCATCTTCAAGATCGCATTTGTTACCGACTAATACCATTGGTACCTATGAAAAAAAAAGAAAGAATATCACATGATATACCGACGAAAGAAACAAGTCCTTTGACTTACATCAGCTGTATCTTTTACTTTGAGAATCGTATCACGTAAATCAACAAGATCATTGTATGTTGATTGAGCAGTTATTGAATAGACAAGAACGAAACCTTGACCGTTTTTCATGTACAAATCTCGCATGGCAGTGAATTGTTCCTAAAAACGATAACAGCGAATCTTCAGCATATCGAACGATGAAAGGCAATTTACCGTTCCAGCAGTATCCAGAATTTCACTAGAATAAATATTCGAAATAGATCATAATGTATCTTGTGTTTTTTTTTCTTATCAAAACTTACAGCATGCATTGTTGTCCATCAACTTCGACTTGTTTTCGATAACTATCTTCAATCTGATCAATAAGAGGACGACACGAGCGATTGATATACAAGTCAGACGTTTTTTCTTACCGTGGGATCGTACTTTTCAACGAATAATCCTTGAACAAATTGCACTGTCAATGCCGATTTACCAACACCTCCGCTACCAAGCACGACAATTTTGTACTCACGCATTCTCTAAACTAATTATCAATAAAACAAATCTAGAACAAAGCGATCCAATGATTAACTTCCAATATACGAAAGAGACCTTACATGTACCATGGAATAATATCTGACAAGAACATGGATTCTTCCTGTTCTCTTCCTCAGAATTGATTTCTTCGATATGAATGCATAAGTTCCATCGAAACTAATCTCTATAGGCTAGTTCTTCGGCAATATTTACATCTGTTAAGAGTTAGGAAAACGGAAGTACGAGAGTTCTATTTATAGAACATGCATCTTCTAATGAAAAGGACATTTTCTCTTCACTCAATTCATTCCTTTCATAGTTCAGTGCAATCAGAAGTCGATATAACTATTGACATAAAATTAACTTATTAATCACATGTTGACATTGGTCTTTGGCGAAAATTAATGACTAATCAGACGTACTCGATTTACGCGAAGTTAATCGCTCGAAATCAACTAGTCCACGTCAATGCGACTGAAGCATTGCTGCTTTCACTTACCTGCAGAAAGAGAACAACTATGACATGACAGATAGTCAACAATCATATTTTATGCATCAGGAAAAGGTGAGAAAGGGAAAACTATTAGTGAAATTGAACTCGAAGAAAGTTTATTTGTCTAATTAAAAGAATTTCTAATTGTTGACGTTTGAACAGATCGAATCTTATTCGGAAGAGACGAAAATCGTTATTGTAAATATAGAACTTGACTTATTGACTTCGATTAGCAGTGCCAGTATATCGCCAGTTTTTAGAACAAAAACACAAAGAAAATACGAGAAGAAATGAACCTATCAAATAGTCCTGTTTGCATTTGAGTATAAGATAAATCAAACAATCATATTTCCATCATTGCTGTCGTAATTTGATTATTCTTTTTTGTTTTCTATTCAAAACAAATTCAATTATTTTAATTCAATTTTCTTACAACTAGCGACATCTTGATAGAGAGAAGATTTTCACTGACGGGAAAATCCTAGTCATAGTGAATAAAAACTTGCGGTTTTCGTTCGGGAAAAACTTGTGTTTGCAACTGTGTAGTGAAAAGAAAAATGATAAGCAATTGGAAGTATATCGACACTTGAAAATGTTAACTCAAATTCTTCTTTTTCCTTTCCCATAGTTACACAAATAGAAAAAGATCTGTTCACCATGCTCAGTTGTGTGTCGTTTCCTTGAGAGAAACATCGTCTTCTGGTATAACTAAGGTATGTGTAATTTCATTCGTATGCGTTCGTTGTCAAGCCATCAACCTGGTCATCCGTGTCGTACTTCGCGATGAGATATATTGACCTGAATGAGTGATAAAGAATATTAGATACGATATAGTCACGTTTAGCTATGATCGCGAAGCAATTGGCTCAGTGCATTTTGAAGATAATGCATAAAATTATTGTTGTAATGAACTGTTTCTCGTATTCGGATCGCTATTGATAAATTATTCTCTTTAAGGGATTGTGGTACATGGTTGGGAATAGCAATTACATGGTTAATAATTTATCGCAAGCGACTATTGTGAAAATAGTGCTTCTTTGTATGACAGTTTTCATTTTGAGAGTTGCTACAGTTCATTACAAAACACGAGAGTAAACATTTGTTTATGAAAGTATCGATCATACATGTACGTCTATCATCATTTAGTACAATCAAACCATCATCTTCGAATGATCTTAAAACTGTAAGATGAGTTTTGTAGGAAATTCTTTCATTTTGTATGCATTGTAGTTAACTAATCGAGTACCTTCACATCAACATCGTCCATTAGTTCATTTTTCTCCGAGTAAAAACTGGATCAATGATCCAAACGGACTTGTTTTCTACGACGGCGAATGGCATTTGTTCTACCAACATAATCCGCATACACCTACGTCAGTGAATATGCACTGGGGCCATTCAGTTAGTGAAGATTTAATTGCATGGACAGAATTGCCGATCGCTATCGAACCGGAGGATGATATCGTTGGTATTTGGTCAGGTTCAGTTGTAATTGATTGGAAAAATACTACGGGTTTTCAAAAAAATATGAGCACACATCCAATGATCGCGATATATACATGGCAAAAGCAACGATGGCAAGAACAACATATGGCATACAGTCTTGATCGAGGTAAGAGCACTTATCGTGATTGAATCTCAAACATTCTATTGTTTAGGACGTACGTGGACAAAGTATTCATCGAATCCAATCATTCCCATGTATAACAATGTTTCCACTGCGGACAGACTCAGTGATCAAATAGTTCGCCGTCCATTTCGTGATCCTAAAGTTTTCTATCACATTCGAACTTCTTCTTGGATTCTTGTGCTGACAGGTGGTGATCATGTTCAGTTCTACAGATCGTCGGATCTTATTCATTGGTCACTCGTGTCTCAGTTTGGGCTTACTGATGGTTCACATGGTGGTACGTGGGAATGTCCTGATTTGATCGAATTTCCTCAAAGAACTTTGAAAAATCGCACTAGTCTATGGGTGTTGCTAGTATCAGTACAACGCAATGCACCAGCCGGTGGTTCAGGTATGCAATATTTCATTGGCACATTTGATGGAAATGAATTTCACAACATCCAGCCACCTGAAACTATTAACTGGCTTGATTACGGGCCTGATTTTTACGCCGGGATTACCTTTCACAATATTCCAGGATACGATAGACGACAAATACTGATCTCTTGGATGAGCAATTGGCAATATGCGAACAATTTACCAACAGCGCCGTTATGGCGAGGGCAAATGACAATCCCACGTCAGTTACAACTTGATCTTAATTCATACACCAACAAATATCATCTGCGACAGACACCCGTTCAAGAACTCACTCGTTATTCGAAACGATTAATTACCTATCATCATGAAAAACTCTCGAATATGGTTCTCAATATGTCTCGCGACGTTTACATGTTCAACATCGAATTGCATAAAATTACAAAAGCAACAACTATTCATCTGAAATTTCGCGAGAACTCCAATAAAAGCGAATATACACAAGTCAGTTATATTGGCGAAAAAAATCAAATTGAACTCGATCGAACACGTTCCGGGCTTACTGATTTCCACTCATCTTATCCTGTTCAGTTCAACATGAATCTAGACCGAGAGACATTAATCACCGGGAGACTTCAATTACAACTGATCATCGATCGCTGCTCAATAGAACTATTTGTCAACGAAGGAAAATATACCATGACCTCGTTAATCTTCCCGAAAGATTCTGGTTATCAAATTGAAATAACCGTTGATGGTCATGAAATATTCATTAACTATCTTGAACTGATGCTTTTCTCTCTTTGAAAAACTTTGTCTTTTTTAAAGTTTATTTTTATTTAAAGAAAACCTCAACTGAGATGACTATCTCTCAAAAACTAAAGCTAAAAAATGTGATCAATAGCGACGTTTCTTCATCTATAAATCACTTCGTTTCGATTGACTTTCGATGTAACGTTGGCTAACTACAGGCCAGTTGACAAGACGCCAGAAGTTTTCGACGTATTCAGCCCGACGGTTTTCGTAAACTGGATAATAAGCTACAACAAAGATAACAGACAAGAGATCAATCATTATCAATTAACAATAAAAGTACGAACCATGTTCCCAGAGATCAATTCCCATGATGACGAAATGGTTCTTGTCGAACATGATTCTAGAAAGAAATAATTGAGCTTATTGGTTAGAAGAGAATGTAACTTACGGATTATCTTGGTTGGCGGTAAAGTTCAAGACGAGTGTCTTTGTACGTGCATCGATGTAGAGCCAGACCCAACCGGAACCGAAGAGGTTAACTGATGCAGCCGAGAATAATTCACGGAATTTATCGAAGGAACCGAAACTTTTTTCTAAAGCTTCAAGAAACACTCCTGTTGGTTTGTTTTCTGCAGCTGTGGCAGTTGGTGCTTTCAATAGCGAAAAAAATAACTTGTGATTGATATAACCACCACCATTGTGTCGTAAGGAAAGACCATAAGTTTCAGGTAATTCACCTAATCGTGTAAGAATAATTTCGATTGGAAGATTTCCGATTTCCTTTAATTTATCACCGTTTTTGGTTTCATTGCACATAAGTCTAAGCACCATGTTGGTTTTGTTGGTATAAGCAAAAAAATGTTTGTCATGATGCAAATGCATCAATTTCTCGGAAAGAACAGGTTCGAGTGCATTGTATGCGTATGGTAATGGTGGAAGAGTAAGAGTCGTTTGTGAATAAACACCGGCGAAGGTAATGAGAAAAACAATGGCAGCAGAAATCATCATGAACAATCACAAATACACTTTGATGTCTAGTGTTGTTTCTTTTTTTTTCTGAATAAATACATCATCGGTACGAACGATTTTTATTTGGTGATTCGATCGAGGTAACGGCATGATGACGTGGATGAAAATATACACATACGTGGATATCGAAAGCCGAGAAGAAGAAAAACGAATATTTGAATGAAGAACGATTACATCGATATCAGTCATCTCTGCCTAGATGTCAAGGCCGTCGGATTATCTTTTCATTCAATCTTATATTTTAATCGATCATCATTGAAATTATTTAGTCGGAACAAAAATAACAGAGAAATCAAACAACAGATTTGTATGAGCTGTGATAGAGAGTACGGAGCAATGAAGAAAAGAAGAAGAAGTAGAAGAAAAGAAAACCACACAATGACATCCATATACATCGTTGTTTTTTTTTGTTTGCAAATTGACAAAAAAGATGATATACACAGGAAAAAATCAATTGAAAAACGAGACTTGATTGCTGCTCAAACACAAAGATTCGTATCCTCATTACGTGAACACATCGATAGAGACCTTCCTGTTCAACTCAGACTTGATTAAGACTATTCGCCGAACGAGATGAACTTGGCAATGTTGATGCAGATAGATTTGTACTTGTATTCGAATTCTGACGTCCAAGAACAAAGCCCGGTACCCAACCTTGGATACTCGAAGTCGTTCGATGTATACGATGACGAACGAACCAACGATTATCTTGACTAGTAGTTAAAATTTGAACATAATCTCCTTTATGTACACAGATTTCATCATCTTTAATAGCATTGTAATTACATAGACATCGAACTTGTTCGGGTATCTCCATAGATGTCTGAGGACAGGATGATGACGATAAATACGTCGGCGACTTCTTCTTAGTGGCACGAATTGATTGCGGTTTTGTTGTTGTACGTGATAGAATTGAATCGAATAAATTAAACGATAGAGATGTTTTCTTCTGAGGAATTTCAGCTGGTTTATTTGCAGTAGATGTAATCGACATTTCCGAAAATGTACTGGACCGATCAGACATGGCCTTCTTGATTTGATTTCTGGACGATGATGTAAACGATAACGTGGACGAATCTTGCCTAGAAAAGAAATCATCAACATCAATAGTCCGTTCCGGAAAAACTCCAAGTTAGTTCGTTTCTTATTAAGTGATTAAAATAATTGAGCAGCGCATATCAAAGCTTCACATACACACACAAGCTGTCTCTTATCCTTGCTTTTTTTTTAAATGGAAAACTATCTGCATTTCACATGTTCGAATGTGATGATAGAATAACAGCAGCGTTATTCGATGAAAAATGTCGACGACCTGATTGTCTCCATTCAGGTATTTCCCATGTTAATAACCTAAGATTGATATGTGAGAACATATAGCATACAAACATAGAGAATAAAAGAACTAATTCAAACAGGTAGGTTGCTTGAACGTCACTGCATGCGAAAAACAGATCAATAAGCTTGGGAGAGTAAAATAATGATGCAATAAATTCATATATGATATCATAAATACAAAAAAAAGAGCAAACGAAAGTCAGCTTTCGGTGAAGATCCTTACAAATTTTCCTGCTCGATGTGTCTTTTTTTGTCTATTTACATAGTTTTTGGCTTATAAATATATAGTTTATTTAGAACGAGGACTAGTGGAAGAGAAGAGAACAACATACGGATTCGATATATACATTATCCGGATACTTACTCTTTTTGTAGAGCAGCTGTTGGATTAGTTAGAGCTAGAAAGAAGAAAACAAACATTAATTTCTGTCTAATAGAACTTAGTCAGATGAGAAAATAATAAGCACAAATGTATGATAGATTAGTTTTCAGGCGTGCATACGCTTTCTCATTGGATCGACCGTTTTGGATCAACTTAATAAAAGAGAAGTACTTGTTGGAACATACCTATGATAAGATCCATCTGACGTTGAAGCACCTTATTTACATTAGTAACCCATAGTTCGTATTGTTCATCATCTTTACATTGACAAATAACTCGACGAATATTTCCCGCATCGACTTCTACTAATGTAAATTGACATAGTTCCTTATTACGTTTGAACTCTTTGTGCTGCAATTTGTTGATCTAAAGCGAAAAAAAAAACTTGGTTAGTGATTATTATCAATTGATTTGTTTGAGTTTTACTTTGAGTTCGTATTTGTAAATATAATTTGGACTCGAATATTTATCTTTCGCAGGTATTTCATCACAAAATATCATTGATTGTTGAAAGAGAAATACTCGTCGTTCTTTCAGTTTCTTCTCCGCATCTTTCGTATCTTTCGGTGTTACCGGTTCACTCACCAACAACATATCTTGTAATTTAAGTTCACCTAATTGATGCACATTCGTTGACAAGTCTTTTATTCGACCGACATTCATCATATCGTTTGCCTGCTGTGGAACTTCGATCATGACTTGTAACGCGCTACGTATCGCACGTGGCTCGTCACCCATACGCTCAGTGGACTTGAGAATTTCTTTTAATAATAATTGATAGCGCATGATACGTTGAACAGGTTTAATCAATAAATCTGAGACAAGTAGTTTTTGACCGAGTTTCTTACGAATTTCCTAGAAAACGATAATTCAATTGATCGAATTAGCCTCACAGGCAATTATCATCATCATTATCTATTTATTGTGAAGGCAAATCGTGTTAGATTGAGAGTATCTTCTTCTAATCATAAACAAGTTTCTAAACATCACATGTGTTGTTGATTATCAAGACATTCATGCTGGGTCACATATACTCGCTGAGAAATATCTTTCGAACAGTGATCTCGAGTCAATAAGACCTGCTAGGCACTGATTTCCCCTCAAGTAAAATTTGATCAACACATTCGGATTCATTTATTGCCGTCCTAAGAATAATTTTAATCATTCGGGGCCTAGATTGAGTCTGTTCGTGCTTATTTCTATTCAATATAAGTCATAAATTTTCTTCCGGAAAAAGGAAAGAGCTTGTGTTTTTGAAGAGAATAATTAATCTTCTGAAAATTGTTTTTGCTGTCTCGGGCGGAAATTTTTTTTTCTAGTTGAACAAAAATAAAAGAAAGGAAGACAGCGACGAACGATCATGACTTTGACTTTTCTGCTATTCTTATCCGTTTTCTTAACGCAAATAACTATTCATCATTAGAACATTTCTCGTCGTTTTCTCTTTCATTTACTTCGACCAGATGCGTTTCAATTGTCTCGAGGGAATCGTTCTCTGACGATGTTTTCTATCCAAATATAAACGTTACTCATTACAAAAACGACTTACTTCGAAATAATCGTGATATTCGGAAACGATGTATTCCGAACGTGGTTTATTTTCACAGTAGCGAACATATGGACTGAATCGATTTGTCTAGAAGAAAGCAGATTGACAATCGATACGAGTTTTATAGAAGGATACTCACGGTGAATAATCGACCGAGAATATTCGGGCTTTCAATGCATTGTTCAAGCTGAGGAAGAAATGTACTGAAAGAAAAGAGGTCATAATTCAGATATCGAGAAAATCAATTAACTTACTCGCGATGAAACTCATAGATTCTTTGCACATTACCGAAAACAACGCGCTCCCGGCCACACAATCCCGTTGGCTTTTTGATTTCTTTATCATTTTCGAGAATGTTCATATATCCCTATGAATAATAATGAATCTCTCTGATGGACGTGAAACGATGTCAATCTTACTTCCACAATTAAGGCTAGATCTTTCACATATTCCTTTTCCGTTTCAATCAATTCGACGATATTATGCCTGAGAGAAAGTTGTTTGTCAGAAAAAATATTCCGAAACAGAGTTTCACTCGATGCTCTTACCTTCTTTTTTCGCCGTATTTGGTTCTATCATCGATGGGCTCGTCAATGGTTGCAAACGATGATAGAGTCGTTTGATCGGCGTCATTGTAGGATATTTCATCTGTTGGTTCACTTTGACTATCATTCGAAATCACAGTTATCGTCGACGTTGAGGGCATCTTCATAGAGGAAATTTCCTCGGCAGGTGGTGTTTCTATTGACAAGGCAGCTGGGATATGAAAATCACTTGCTGAAAGGGCAGAAACAACATTGATTGGTGCCTAAAGATACAAAAAAAGAAACATTATAGCACGCAAAGATGTCATTTCGTTCACGCTAATAAGATTTGCTCTTTTGAAAAAGAAAAAGAAAAATGATCTGCTTACAACGTGTTGAACAAGTCGTGCGATGACTGAATTATCGTCAATTGGACTAATTGATGCTAATGGTGCTGTGCGTACTTTTCGTAAACGTGCTGAAAGGTCTCCACTAGTGCTTCTGGACGAAGAGTCCAGAGCAAGTGTATTGACCAATTTCCTAACAACGGTGTTGATCTCCGTACTGACTTTTTCTATCTAATAGGTTTCTGATGAGCTGAAAGACAGATGCTCAGGAATAAAGTGCACGTCGGATTACTAAAAGATGTTGTTAGTGTTAGCACAATTCTCGTCGTTGTCTTTCCATTAAACAAAAATGTCACAAAAGACGTCGACAGTAGACATTAGACAGTAAGGAAACGAGAAATGCAAAAAAACTCAAGAAAGGAAAGAGAAGGAAAATACAAGCACCATCGTCTTGTTCTGTGTTGTTTAGCCTCGTTCGCTCGTCTAATAGTATTACAGCGATTATTCCGAAACGAACGCGCTCGTTCTCGTTTCTATACTGCTTTCCGCTTACACATATATATTCTAGTGTATATATATATACACACATATATATATACAGAGTTGCTTGCGCGTGTGTATGCATTCGCTCGTTGCCAGCTAATGAAGTATCAGCAACAAGCAAAGCAATTAGATGACGAAAGAAATGCTCGTTCGCACACTGAACGACAATATGTTGTTATTTCTTCAGCCCGATCTAAGCAATTGTGTCATTATCTTGACTCTCTTCATTTTTATGTTCTTTCCAAGACTATGATTAATGAACCCCGAAAAAAAAATGTGTATGTTTATATTTGAACATTGATGACATACAAACATATACTAAGAGAGTTCTATTTTTGCTTCTGATTAACGACACTATCCTGCTGTTGCCTTCTTTACATAAGTATGTAATGGATGTGTCGAGATAACGGCAAGCATTGTTTAGCACTATATTATACATAGAAATAAAACCGAAGAAGAAACAGTAAAGGGCAACTTCCTCTCTTGTTGTTACTCGCACTACTAATCATAGTCGAGGTCTGAGGTTTGATGTTGCTATTTTTCTTTGACGTCACCTGATCTTCAGACGAATAGACAATGTGACAGCGTACTAGAGTAAATCTGATTACTTACAGCTGGTGGAGAAAGTGAATCTCCACCATTTGTTAATTTAAGTTGTGATTGTATATCAAGAGATAGTGGGATTTCAATGCAAGCAGTTTCTACGTTATCTACTGGCGAAATGATTGGTGCAGCGTTGGATGATGATGATGAATCTGTCATTTTGTAGAAACCAGTGAGGCCATCGTTATCAATTGATTTACTCAAAGGATTCTAAGAGAAAATCGAGTAAAAAAAAGATGCCAATGCAACATTGTATATGTATATCGATGTTGTATTTATATAGAGAAAACCACCCGTCGAGTTTTCATTTGTAACAAGAAAAAGAGCAGAGAGAGAGAGAGAGGCAAAAACTTACATTATCTTGACTACTCTGTTTTTTCGACGACACGAAACGGTTCTTTTTTGTCCATGGAAGGCCAGGCATGTTTGAAAAGTTATATTCAATGTACAGAAATGATCATTGGGATGAAAGTACTGCACAAAGAATGCGTATATATTTATCGATAAGATGAGGACAGTAGTTAGGAGTCATACGAAAGAATATGATGAGAATGATGACGACGTAACAGATCTATACATACGCATTACATTACTGTTATCCTATTTTTGTTCTCGTTCTATGTTCATGTATTATATATATAGTTATATGTGTATATCTAGCGCAGAAGATTATATAATAGATAGAAGAAATGAAAAAAGCGAAGTGTTATTTCTATGCTAATGAAAGTCAATGCATGGAGAAACATTTCTCGTTTTCTTTTGTCGACAAAAACTAATTGCAAACTTCGTCTTCACATTCGGAAATAGTCTCATTGAAAATAGAAAAGATAACATACCGTTCCATCAGGATATGACGTCAAATCTGCTGTATCTGCGAACGTAAATGCCTTGAACAACAAACAAAGACAAGCAGTTATGTGTGTATTTAGCTCGCATTTTGTATATATACTTTCAATTTTCTGGAATTTGCTGAATTGAAAGCCAACGGTGGTCGTTTATGCACAGGATCTGTGTGATGATTATCTTCCGGCGAAATTGTGTTTGCGCTAGCGATTAAGTCTGTAGGACTGGTGACTTTCGCATCTTTGATGATACTATTATCTTTCAAGCTCAGACGTCGAACGGGATTTTTGAGAATTCTTCTACAATAGCGAAGAGATCATGACTAGAAAATGATGAAATCGACTAACCGGAAACTAGATTTTCGTTTGTTGAGTTGAAACGTTGACGGAGGTGAACGACATTGGGATTCATCGATTTTACTGGAAAGTTCATCTAAATAAAGAATGTAGATAAGAATTACTCGTGTATTCTGTTTTACTAATATCGGACGAATCTCGAGATTTGATCCATTTGTAAAAGGCACAAGTCGACATAACCTTCGCCTCGTATAGATTCGCTCTGAATGCACAATGAAATATCGAATTCCCTCTCGAAGGCCTGGATATTTATGCACAGAAAAAAAAAAGGGACAGACTTTGTCTTATTAGTATTAAACCGGCGAAAGCAACTCATGAATTATAAATGAATCAATTTCGGAGCATATTTAATCGCTAAATCTCGCTTTCACTTTTCAAACAGAAGAAGAAAAAAAAACAACTTCGTCACCGATAAAAGTGGAAATTTTTATTGACAGGAAACGGAACAACACAAACTACTCGCACTTATCGTCATCATCGACTCGATATCCGTCGATGTCTTCGATTATCGAAAGAAATGTGTCCCTCCTTGTTGTCTTCAACTAGTTTTCAGACAAAATTTTTCTCCGATTCTTCAGTTAAACTAGAACAACGTCCAAGTATCATTAATCATACGATAAAGTGTAATTCTATTGAAATAATTCAATGATTATTGGACGATATAGATAGACAGTCATCGCGAATCAATTCATCTTCTGCATGGAGAGAAGCATGGAAATTGTCTAATAAAGCTAGTCTACCAGCGAAGATTTAATCGCTGGAGACAGTCTTCCATCAATTGGATTTTCTACACAATGATAATCATTATGTTACATTTAACCTCTGATGAAATCTACCGGAATATAAACAGTATATTGATTATAGAGTTGATGCAAGCGAAGTCGGTTTTTTTTCTTGCGCTCTATCCCAGAACATTTGCCGAACATGCTATTCGACGAGAAAAACTGTCGTCTAGGATCATTTCTGAAAAGTTAACTACGCTCGTCAACATCTAATCATTGCAATAATAGGAAATAAATACAGTTAATTTCACCATCTAATAACGCTATCATTTCAGTTCTGAAATAAAAATGTGAACATGGAAAGTTTGGAGCAATGGATTTCAAAGCAGGCCAATTCGTTCAACTTGCTGCAACGAGAATTTGCAGCTAGACAGAAAAGGAATTTTTCATCACGGTATCGATGTCGCAGACATATTGTGTTCTCATATGTTAGTTTACGTGAAAGAAAGTTTTAATACGATAGACTCGATCTCCCTCATCGGATCGCTTCTCACTTCAGTTAATTATTTATTCCCAAAAGAGCTTCGTAGTTTGGTTGTAGAATAATCCTATTGAAGATTTGATTAAAGGCAAAACTAATGATCCAACTAATTGTAGATTCCGCCTGAGAAAACACAAATAAAATTACCTTGTTCACTTTTATTGGTAATTATTGGAAGAGTTAATGGTGGCGGTAGTTGAAGATTCGACGAGGAGGCCTTGGTCAGTTTCAGAATCGCAGCAGGAACGAGTCCTTCGCTATATTTCGAAGGTAACGATAAGTCCGGCACCACATTTGTGATCGTTGTCGATGACGCAGCGAGTGAAGACGGACTCGATTGATTGTGGTGGTGATGATGATGTTGATCGTTTAAGACGCGTATAAGACACCAATCCGGTGCATGTGACAGTTGTCTTTGAACTATTCGTACGTGCTGCCCTTTGCTTACAGTTAATTCTTGTGGACTACGTGCAGTATAATCGTCTAAGACGATTGTCACATTGGAATCCTAAATTAGAAAAAGGAGACGAAGAAATGAGACAGTTAACTGATTAGTTTTCAAAAACGAAATCTTCAATCGAGTTAGTTTTTATGTGTGTTTGTGTGTATGTTTATTCTACGGTTATCAGATTAGGATTGATTAGTAAAGAATGATAATTACCCATCGTAATTTTAATTTGCGCCAGAATTCCATCAGATAGAAATTCTATCAAGTGACTCAAGTCTCGGTGATACGATAAGAAAGATGAGAATTCTGTCGACGACAAAATGAAAGATCTAGATGTGAATGGAGAAATTGATGGGAATGCAAAAGTCAAATGTTAACTATTTGTCTGTCCAGTCAAGTGAACATCATCTTTGACATTCACGTATGTTCGAAGACGTTTGTGTGGCGAAGAAGAAAAAATGAAATCAGCATCGACGATTATTTATTAAATAATACTCTTCTCTATTTTCTCTCTGTCCCTTCTCTCTTCTCTCCTCTTCTCGCCCTTTCTCTCTGTTGCTTGTGCGAACGCATGGATTGTTGTGCGCGTTGTCGCCGACGACGACGCACGAGACTCAATGATGTTGATGTTACTAGTAGTAGTAGTAGTCGTCGTCCTTCTTCTTCTTTTTTTCTTCTCATACATTCTATGACGAGTACTCCTACTCCTATCATCAAAACAATGACATCATTACATTAATCACAACGATTATTCTTAATTTATATTTTCAGATTTCTCTGCTTTTTTTCCTTTCGTTCATAATCAAGGAAATTCGCTTTGAAGAAAATTTCCTTGCAGTTAATTAAGCAACAACACATTGAATACAATCAACAACGAAATATCTCGCGTTTCAAGTTAATTTTCTCTCATTATTTGCGTTGTTATTCTAATCAGATATGGTTCAGTTATTTTGCTTACACAGCTCGCTATGTATCTATCTGTTAGCTATTTGATCGTCGTTTTCTTTTTTTTTTCTCCTTTTACTTTCGTTCTCTATTGTCATGGATTTTTTTTCTTGCTTGTTTATTCCCGCGTGCACATAGACCAGGTTACATTCATTATGTTCCAATGAATGGCGAAAGGAAAAGGAAAACCTGGCCAGAAAGATACACAATCTAAAGAGGAAAACATTCATTCATGGAAACAAAAAATCTTGTTGCTGACGTCGTTCAAAGATAAAGAAAAAAGTCATCCGTTGAAGTGGTTTCTCTTTGACAGAAAATAACGTCGCCGATGATAATGATGATGATCATGATCAACGAGGCATACACGCAAGCACGCATATCTAACTAATGCAATCGAAAAAGTAAACACGCAAAGTGTGCTAATCGGTCTGTTCGATGACCTGCATTCAAGGAGAAATGTGTCCGAGAAAAAAACGACGACAGGAATATCCCCTTGTCAAGAAATTGCCAATAGAAAACGATTTTTATTCGAATAATACCAATTGTAATTATGCTAAAGATCGTTTACTTAAATAAACAACGACAGTTAGTCCTACTTAACCTATTCGTTGTCTTTTCCTATCCCCAAAGAATCTGCCTTTTTGCCGAATGTTTACATTAACGCAAAGTTTTTTTTTTCTGTAACTTATTGTCATACAAGTCGTTCGTATCGAACAACTTTTCATGTTACTCTAATGAACAAGATTGACCTGTTATTGGGCAAAAATGATAGATAATACGTGACGTGTGAAAGATATCTGTTCTATAAACAGAAACTAATCGGAATCCGACAGACATTCGCTTTTCCGACAGGTATTTGCAAAATAATTAGATGGAAAAAAGGCCGTTCGAGTACTTAATAGTCTACTCACCAGATTGAAATAATTCAAGGCTGATTATAGTCTTAATAGCAAATGCCGACTGACAAGAAAAATTGTTTTCACAGAAATGAAAGCCTAATGAGTTGTCTCGATTTAATTTCGTCATGTACTGTTGCTATTTTCATCGACGATACTTGATATAATGAAGATTGAGAGAGAAAGAGAAAAAGTTCCACTTAGATTCATTTACATGTAAACAATTAAATGCATATTTCATATAAAAATAGAAAGATGAGATGTCCTTTACCTTAGTAGAACGATGTACACAGAGATAATGCAACATTGTCTAATGTAGGCAAACTTTGTGTTTCTATCTTAGCAATATGAAGTGACTTGACAAAAATAATAATAATGAAGCAAGTGTGCAGAAAACCGGGCAACAGATGTTGTTGTTTTTTCCTTGTTTTATTCTTTATCTACTTGAATGTGTATGTATTTTCGCTGTCTTTTCCTCGCTCTCTTTTTCTGCTTCTCTCTCTCTCCTAATCATACTAATAGTTATTATCAATAACAAAACATGTATATTTACCCATTCGGACAAACGCCGAATGTCTTTGAGACGTTTTCTCATTGCATAAATCGAAGTTTTTATCGATCGAAGTAGTGTATTTGTTGACGGAACAAGGTTCGAATCGGATGTGAGAGGTAGTGGAGTGAACGAAGGTAACACATGTGGTGGTCGACTCTCCGTGGATGATGCTGTCAGCGAGGTAGATGAAGGTACTGATCTCGAACGACTATGCGTATTTGCATAAGATGATTGTGAATTCTTTCGATGTGAATGGTATGGTGCTAGCAAGGTATCGGCTAACGGTGGATGACAAGGTTTGGGTGATGATTGTGGCGATGCATAAACCGGCGACGATCTGGAAGTATTTCGTTGTTGAATTGTCACATCTTCATAGGTTTCTTCGTCCGATGGTACTTGACATGACATGTCACGTAGCGATGTCCGTTCAACACTTCGACTGCAACGTTGACAATCGAGAAGAATTGTTGGAAATGGTTCGTAATTATTCCGAGATGAATTTTCGGTAAATGTCAAATTATCGTAATCATGTTGTTCCTGTTCGCAGGTCGATGGAAAGAAAAAGTCTGAGCCGTACATCGATGAACGCGAAGTCGGGTGTATCGTCGTCGGATAGTTTGATTGACGTTGATATTGATATAGATTGGGTTCTAGTGAACTTTGCCGCTGAAATGTTCTCATCGATCGTGTTGGTTTTTCGTAAAAAGATTGATGATCATGTAAGTTTGTCATTGGCAATGGTTCATCGATGAATATCATTGAATATGGTCGATGACTTGATATTTGGTGGATTTTATTCATTGATTGATCGCTGTATGTTGATGATGAACATCGTCGCCGAAAGGAATTAATTAACGAAGTGTAAGCAGGTTTGGGTTGACTCGATGGATATTGTCTTCGATAAATTTTATCGTAATTAAATACTGGAGGATTCGTTTGATTGAAAGATGTTTGCTGTTTAATTGTCGTATTATTATTTGTTGTTCTTGTGGTTGTTCTTGTTCGTGTTGTTGATGTTTCATTTGTCCATGCATCAATTTTTCTAATAACACGATCGATTTTTTCGGAAATGGTTTCATTAGGTAATAATAATGATAGTCGAATACGTTCATCATTATCGTCATCGTCATCATCATCAACAGCTACATCGTTCGTCTGATCAGCATTATCATTCGGCTTTTTGTACCATTTACGTTGAATATTCTCCGTATGCTTTTCTTCTTGTGTTTTGGTGGTTGTTGTCGAAGATTTCGAGTTGATCCGACGACTTTCTTCACGGAATGGTAATGCACGACGCCACCGAGAACGTTTCTTCTCACCGCTCATTCATTGAACTTCACGACCTCTCTTCGAAAAAAATTCAAAAGCAAATATTTCATTAGACATACACTAACATTTCCCAATCTTCGACGATTCTAATCGGAAGGCAAAAAGAGAACTGATTCTCGTTCTTGCCTTTTTTTTCCTATCGTTATGTATACCTAATAGATGATATGTATACGAAACGCAAGAGAGGGAGAGAGACAAGAAGGAGAAACATTAACGAAGCAGGCGTATATCCAAGAATGATAAATAAGCTTAGAAAAACGGTCGCTGTGCCAATCGAGAACAGTATGCTAGGCTCTTTCTAGTTTTACACTTTTTCTCTTGTTCGTATCTGATTGCTATTTTTGAGTGAAAGGCGAAGACGAGAGAACAAAAATCGATTTGTTATTTTGTTAAAGAATCAATTGAAGATCTGTACAATTCGCTTTTCGTTTCGAAAGATTTTCATTCGGTAGACAACGCGATCGCCGATAAGATGCACAATACCTTAGGGATAGTTATGATTGCGTATAATTTGTTACATTTACAAGGTACATATGAGATTTAATCAATAATTGTTTATTCCATAATGAATATTTTTTTATAGTTATAGGAGATTCGAGCTTTTTCTCCTCATCTCAAGATGTGCATATGTGTATACATGTTATTGAGATTAGATGTCTATCGTACAATCAACAGGAGTAAATGTATAAGAGAAGAACATTTATATAGCCAAGGCTATTCTGTTGATAGATCGCGTTCTATCTGAGACGTCGAATAACACATGCAATTATGAGAAGTTATAATTGGAAAACCCGAACAAGATAGACCAAGGCAATTGATTAAGCATTTGGTCTGTATATTTATTTTTCTTTAAGTAGATTCATTAGTTCGTTTTCCTCGAATTTCACTCTCGTTTTCTAATCATTTTTTTTTCTTGTGAACTCTGACAGTTAGCAAGTTCAAAGTTATTCGATCTATCATCAATGAAGTCATCAATTCGTCGACGCAGTTGGTAGAAATAAAAAATAACATCATCAGAAACATGAGAATCGCGAACAGGGTTATCCATACATTATCAGACGCGAGAAGACAACGGAAAGAAATGCGTGTGTGTATGACTTTTTTTTTCTTCATCGGATGAGAAAAATGAAGTTTGTATTGGATTTCAATGATCTGTTCTTTGCTTATTGATCGTGTTCGTTTCGTGTAAATGAGACAATAACAACTGTTTTGTACATATTCAACAAGATATTATCTTGTCGAACGAATGATTGGCAATGTAGAGGAGAAAGAAGAGAAAAGTCGTCAAATGGCATGAAATGATTTCTTTTGATTGATCTTATTTGTTTAACGAATCTATTCCTAATATGACAACATTCTTTGCCGGAAGAAGAAAATCATTGACATTTCATCAGATCGTCGAATTTGAAATGGAATTAGTTGAATTTAATATCATTATTCTACTTGATTGACGCTAAAACTACAAGGTTTCTCTCTTGAATTATTGTTATTCTTCTTCGGATGAGTTTTACGATAGAATCAACATACGCATTATCTTGAAATATCCCGTTTGCCCTCCCGGCTATTTCATCTATTGACAAAAGCTATTCATGCTCGAAGATCGACATTGATACATCACATTTTCGCTGTATTCGAGATATGCACTAGAATATCATACAGTACATTTCGACAAAAAACTAATTAATCACATTCAGATGTTCACAAGCTGAGAGATATCTACTCTAATATGACTTTGTTATTCAATCATCGATGAGATACAGTTGTCGATTTAATATTTATTTCACATGCACTCCGAGTAAAATGAGTATAACATCAGGATTGATTTAACCATCGCACGACGAAATATCGTTTTGCGACATACTTATTTACGAAGATCAATACAGCTGGTAACTGTTTCTCACTATTCAATAAAGTTATCTACGTCTATATAAACACATGTTTTTCATCTTATTTTTTTTTGCACTGGAATAGCATTAATGAATTTCTTCTACATTTTATTCGTAGTTTTCATTGCGTTGACTCATTGTTCTGCTTCGGAACAAGCAGAAGATATGACACCATTACGACGCGATCGACGTGATCGACATGGATGTGATCTTCCGACGAAATTCGTCAAAGCTGTGTCAAGCTGCGGTCCAAAAGGAAAATGTTGTGATGTTCATGATGCTTGTTACAAAAGACATGGCTGCACACGTGGAAGTTGGTTGAAACCATGTATGTAATCTTTAAGGCATTAGAAAAGAATCTCCATTGATTTCGTTTTCAGTTGGTGCTTGTGCTCGATGCAATGCTGCCGTTGTCGCCTGCATTCAATTCCAATTTCCGGGTAAAAGCACATGTTGTGCAAAGAAAAACTGTGGTAAACCACGTTAAATAAAATCCAGAGTATGTCGCTCGATCATACAGTTCAGACGACGTTTTTATTTATGTAAAAATAGAGAAGAAGAAAAAAAAACAAAAAAAGAACACAAGACAATAAAAACATATCTTTTCTAATCACTGTCGAGTTGGACAAACTAAACCAATTCTGCACGAACACATTCGCGCATGTCGGTTGAAGTACTTGTACCATCTCGAAAACTTCGGTAACTTATATGATTATTATCGTGAGTGTTGGGATAAAATTGATGAGGACGAAAATTATCATATGTAGACAAGCGATCTTTCTAAAATTGAAAGAGAAAAAACAGGTAATCACCATTGAGTGACAAGAATAGATCTTACTTTGATAACTCCGTACGTGGGTGAACTATCAACTGGAAAGAAAACGGAGAAAATGAATGAAAAGAATGCAGAAGAAAATGAATTTACCTCGATTGGACATATTCACTATGGAATATGTCGGAACAAATGGTCGTTGAATATCATCATCGTCATACTTTTGATAAGTATTCGCTGTTTGCGATGGTGGTGGTGGTAAGAAAAAATTCGATGGAATCGGCTGAAATATATCGACTGTATTTGTTTCTGTTTCGTTTGTACCTGTTGTAGAGGAATTATCGCTTGTCACATGAACACGCCGGCGTTTGACCAGAAAGAATGATATTAAAATAATATTGATAAAAATAATCAATAGACCGATGAGTGTAATAATAATCAGAAAAGTATAAGAGTATTTTATCGGAGATAAATCTATTGAGTGAAATAATGATGTGGGAACGAATGATGTCGTCGATTGAATAATATCATCAGTCCATTCGCTTAAATGATGGGAGTTGTTCGATCGAAGACTCAGATGGTATTCGCTTCCAAATCGAAGATTTTTCAAAGTATACGATTGAAAACCTGCAGGGATGAAAACGTATGCATAGGAAGTATCTGACGATATACGATAGCGAAGTTGAAAGGTTTGAGAAGATCCACCATCAAAGCCAGGCATCCAACTTATTAACAACGATGAATGTGAGCTATTCACAACTCGAACTTGGCTTGGAGGATCAGGTATGGCTGAAATATACACAGAATGAGACAGAATGAAAGTGGCATATCGCTACTTACTAAGTCCGGTTAGAATAATTTCCGATACGTCAACACCTAATTTATTTTCCATTTTACATTGATACACACCATAATCTGATTTGGTAATATTCGTGATATATAGAGTCGTTTCGTACGTTTGATTCGGTGAGAATGAAGAATTGAAAAGATGTTCTTGAAATTTAGTTTGATATTTTGACGAAGCTATCAAAGATAACGGCAGATTATTCTAAAAACGAAGAAATATTTTTTTTGTAATCAAACATCATTCTCGTATGTAACAAACCTTCATCCATACGATTGTTGGTTTTGGTATAGCTGACACTTGACAATGAAGCTCAGCTGTTAAGAAACGATCAGCATCGGCTGCGGCTTTGTTTCGACTTGAATTGGTCCGATCAATTTCCGGCGCATCTAAATGATATTCAAAACAAAATCGATCTTCGACTCAAATCTTGTTAAATTACATTGAATAACCAGTGGTAATGTCGCACGCGTGCTTCCTAATTGGTTTTCTACTTCACAGACATACTGTCCTGCATCGTCGCGTTGAACCGATTTTCGAATTAATGATGTTTCATTGCCTTCGATTCGTTTTTCCCATAGATCAGTGGAAATCTCTTGATTATCTTTAAACCAGCGTATATTACTAATATTCATCGGATTGCTGTTAATGGCGCATAGGAGTATTGCCGAAGAGCCTGGCATTAAAGCTTCTGTCACTGGATATCCCTGAGTTCGACTAATACTTGGTCCATCTATAATATTCAGAAAATGTTTGTTTGTTTTTCTTTTTCGAACAACAAACCGCTCGCTATTCGAACTTACAAAGAACATTTAACGTAACATTCACTTCAGTACTTCCAACGAGATTCGACGCAGCACATCGATAAGTTCCAGAATCACTTCGTTGAATGTTCGTCACAGCTAATTGCCCCTGGTTAACAAAAATATTCAATTCATCATTCATTAGTTGTCTTCCCGACGGATGAAACCATTTATATGTAATCGGCATTGGATAACCAGTCGCCTCCAATGTAATATTGAACCATTGATTTTCTTTGACTTCGATCAATGTATAGAAATCACGAAAATACGGTTTATCTGAACAAAAACTGCATCAGCTAAACGACATTCATAAAGTCAGTTAGGACATACGATTCACATTGAGCACATAAGTAATCTGTTTGGTTAGTGGTGCAGGACTGATATCTAAAATTGCTTCACATGTCAACAAATTTCCATGGAGGGAACGATCGATTTGTGGTAGCTAAAAGCAAGCAAACGATGCGTTTTCGGGAGAATTATACTTCGAAGCATCAGACCATGAATTTGATTGAGTTCACGCCTGTTGTATCGGACGTTAAAGTTTTGTATTGAACATCGGCGTACTTCTGTCCATCATTCGATTGACGAGTTATTCTCAATTGAGCGGGAGGATTGGATTTCGAAGATCGACATTCAAATTCGCGTGGACCTTCGTTATTCATAGATAAATTCGATAGCAGTTCATTTTCAACTATCGATATCTCTGCAGGAAGAACTACGTAACAATCAGATTTATGACGGTTTCCAACCATTCAAATCACTTACAAGTCACATTGAGAACGAAGGATGCGAATTTTTGGGGGAAGTTTTCGACTTGTCCTTTGCATGTCAACGGAACATTGTTATCCGACACTGAAACAGTGAATTGTACACGACTTGTCGCGTAATTACCAGTCGACTCCATGATGTAGTCGGATTGAAGTAATTCACCACCTGAAGATGAACAAGTTCCGACAAAATGATCAAAATCTTAGTTGATTACCTTTATACCAAGTAATTTTTCCTAACGGATGTCCACCAGTTAAAATACATTCCGCGGTGACGGTATCACCCGCTTTGATCAGCTTATTCTGTGATATTCCATACATTTCAATACTTATTGCGTCGTCTAGAATCGAATCGGAGGAAAAATGAGAACTTTCTGAGGATTATTAATACGAACAGATAACATTCAATTGCGTTGAATCGGTAACAATATGACCTGTTTCAGGATTTCGTGCTTCACACGAAAGAATCTTTTCATGATATTCTCGTAAGGATTTATCAAGACCGAGTGTTTTGGTTATTTGAACGATCTTTCCCGCAAATTCACCTGGCTCTTCTAGCGGATCGATATCAGGCGAAAGAACTTGTCCATTTAGTTTCCAATTGACTATTGGTCGAGGATTGGACGATGCTGTTCGACATTGAAACTGTCGTGGGGTTCCATCGGTCAGAGTTGTTATATTGATTTTATTTCTATTATCACGAATATGTACAGACGATGGACCAACTACAATCAAACGAATGAAACTGTATTTCTATTCCTCTTCTCGTTTCAAGTCAACTTACAAGCAACTTGCAGAGTAATATCCGTTTGCAGTGTTTGTCCTATGGAGGAGAGATATTCATTGGTAACTTGGCATGAAAATGTCACATTATTATCCGAAGGTGTAACAATCATTGATATATTATTAATAGTCATGTTTTGTCGAGGATATGAAATCGATGAATTATCAATCAAATCGAATTGTTTATTATTTCCTCGTTCTAATCTATACCATGATAATCTGCCCAAAGGATATCCACCATACGACGAGCACGAGAGTGTTAAATATGAAGCATTGATTAACAAATGCGGTGGTGTGTAACCGTGAATCGTAGGTAGACTTGGTGGAGATGTTATTTGAATCTCAACCGTCGTAAATAGTCTATCCATTTTGCCGAGTAATGTTTCATGATGGACATGGCATGTAAAACGCTTATTGTTCAATGATAATGATGGAACCAGGGTTAATGTACTCGTTGTTGAAAAGATGCGATCTACAAAAAGAAGAACGTTGACAAGTCAATTTCACTGTTCGATCCTTTCAATATACTTTGAGTGTATGTTCTTGATGTTGCTGGGAATTCTTGGCCAGTTTCATTAAACCATTTTATATGAGCTGCTGGTCGCGCTGCATCGACTTCACAATTGATCTGATGAATAGTTTCATCGTATCTGATCATGACAATGGTTGTTTCGTTCCATAACGGTTGATTGTTGATCTGTACACGCTGTGGTTCAATCAATGTTCGTACATGTGCCACTTGTTTCAATGCCGGTGCATCCTTATAAGGTGAAACTTCACAGGCGAAGATACCTTCGTCTTCTAATTTCAATGATTGAATCAGAAAATTGTATTCGCCACGACTTTCATCTCCGATGATTGACCACGAAGGAAACGCAGGTAATTGTCGATCGTAACCTAAACGACAAATATAAAGATATCAGAAGACGACCGATCAATCAAACATTTGCTAACCTAACGCGAGACCATCTTTGGTCCATTGTATGTCACCATGCGGTAAAGCAATCACACATGGAATAGTAATATTTGAGCCAATTAACGCAGATATATCATGCGGTTGAATTCGATAATATTGATTTTCACTCGATGAAAAACCTGAATATGAACGAAAGAAGATTGGTCGCGTCTCTTTCCTTTAATTATCTATACTTACATAAAATTGAATAGATGATGAGCAACTGTATAAGTAGGCTTAGTGGCATTTCTGAAAATAAAAAAAGAAAGAAAGAAACAGACAATGGTCAGACATTCTGTAATCAAGATAGATTGAATACGTTTCTTTTTCTAATAAACATTCAATTACATTCTATCCAACTCTAACTGACCATGCATGTACACACTTGACAGGGCTTCGTTAATATCAACAAAAGCGTTGAAGCATACAGGTGGAAAGATGCTCTGTTACGTTTCATTCTAAAACAATTTACTCTGGCGAGAAAATGAGATGAAATATGTGGTAATGTGGACCTTCATGCTTATTAGATTCTGATATGTTATATTAGAAGATAAAAAGAAAGGACCCTGACATATTTTCTATGTTATCTTCATTCAAAGTCAAAAGATCGATGTGGGTAATCATAAACTCACTTATTTTTATGTATATTTATTCACTGAAGTTTGATAGTATAACGTCGTCCATCGACTATATCTAACAATAGGGAACCATAATGATAATAATAATGCACATCTTCTTTTCTTCTGTCGATTGTGTTCATCATCATCATTATTTTTCTCTAGCTTTCTTGTCGTCTCCTCTTTTCTCAACTATCATCTTGATGTAAGAGAACAGAATGTGTACGCATGCACAGCACAGTTAACTATGGCGAAGTTTTGTTTTGAACTCACTTGATGAAAAACAATGAGAATTTAATGAATAAAAGCATGTCAAGCACATTGATGAGTTTTTCTTTCTCGAAAGAAAACGAATGACACAGTGGGTAGTGTCTGTTATTTCTTAATTCGGTCAGTGCACTTGAACGATATTATCTCAGCATGTATAATAAAACAAAAAAAAAAGAAGAATATCGTATTGTATCTCTTACATATTGATTCTTCTCTAATATAAACAGCCAATTCACAATGATGATGCGACCTTTTTTGTCAAAGGAAAAATTTTGACAGAGTCATAACTGTCATATGGACACGTCTCTTATTGCAAGTGAAAGACAAAACTGACAAGCAATTCAGTCATCGAGCTAGTTTTGACACATGATTTCACTGCTATATTAAAGATGGAGGAAAGTAAGCGAAGAAAACTGAACAAAGCATTCTTGTCAAGAAGTATATATACAAGAACATTTCCTTCAGAAGACAAATAACCTATCCTCTCGACAAACTAAACGGACATTAACTTTTTTTTCAACATCGTCCTACTACATACTTGCAGCGTGGAATATTCCACTTAAATCACTGACCACTACCCTCGGGGATCGATTATATACGTCGGAAGTAACTCGCTTTCGTTCTGCCTACATATACATCTATAAAGGAAACAATTGCTGAAAAGCTCTATCTTCATTGCTTGTCTATCATCAATATGCATAATGCCTTGACCTATCCAGTTTTTCTTTTCGATAGAACTTACGCAATCTGCAGGTTATTTCTAATTAGTTCTATGAATATATGCCAGTTTTGCTTTGGTGAAAAACAAACACTATTATTATTCTTATCTATGTACCTCATCAACTCTTGTTTTGGCGGTTCACATCGCATTTTGGTTACCTTTGATTGTAATTAAAAATCGATTGTCGGAAGACAACAATTGCTATTTTTTTTCTTCTCTTCTTCTATCGAAGAACAACTTGTTGGCAATCATAGTTTTGATCGACAGACTCACTTGTACTTTCTTTTTTGTGTTTCTCAAATATAAATCATTACTTGCGCTTCTGTCTATTCAATTTTACTGACACGTTCATCATTTTATGCATATGCCTGCCAGCGATCAGCACGCTATCAGCGCGACTGAACAAAAAAGAGGAAATTTATTAACTTATGCAGAAATTTTTCTTCGAGATTAAATCATTAGCATATAACCGAGCCATTTTGACGTTTATTGAAATCAAACGTGCAGATCTATTTTATCCTAATGAAGAAAGTGTCAGATAAATATTGACCGAATGCTACTTAACATTTACTAACAATACTCCTGTCATATGGAGCAAGTTAATCTCTTTTGTTGAGTTTCTAATCTAATTGTCTTCGACGTCACATGACAAATGTAAGTTTGAAAAAGAAGAAAGATTTGATTGAGAAATGATCATTCACGTGTTTAATCGATAACTGTTGACAATCATTTGATGTTTATCAATCCTTGTAAACTAATGAAAGAACTACTTCGACATATGATCAATGATCTTTTCTCTTTATTCTCATAAAAAAAAGAAGATATTCACAGGGTCAACATCGTCCATTCGGTAAAACCATTATTGACTCGGGACATGTTTCACGTAGTTGTCTTCGAAATTTACAATTCCATGGAAATTGATGTACCCCGACAGGCCGTGCATAGAACATGGATTCAACGGAGAATGTCTTGGCAATGTTCACTGGAGCAATCGATGCATTTACACGATGAAAGTTTTCTGCATACCAAACATCTTCAGGTAGAAAGGAATTGTAAGGAAACATTTTCAGTAACGCTAATGTTTTCTCACGACTACGTAAGGAAAATCCACCGTTACCAACACGATAAGTTTTATTATACTGGAAGCCGGTAAGATCCCATGGTGCACCTACGTAATCGTACTGAAGATAATCAGTTACGTAATGCGGAGAATTCGAACACATGATCGAATCGATTTGAAAGAAAAGAACTTTCTCGCCACGAACTAACTTCCAGAAGTTTAGATCGGTTAGAAAATTGTTAATTCTTCGTTTATCATCAATCGATTCGACTAATGTCAGAAAAACTTTGCCCGTTGCAATGAAAGAAGCAAGAGTTGAATTACGAATGAAATTTACATTTTCTTTCCCATGAACTATTTGAATGGGCCATGTTTCAGGTATATGCTGGAGAACATTGTGAACAACGGCAACCATTCGATCAGTTTCACGGAATTCTACTAAAACAGCTATGTGAGGATAGAAATCAGCAGTGAAGGAATAATTCGAGCCATTATTGCTGATGAATATGTAAACAATAGGACGACATGGATACGTACGTGTAATAATTAGAACCGACAGGAGAAAAGTTACAACAGAAATGAAAGATCGGATCGATTCTTTCGTAATTCTTCGTACAGAAAACATTTTGTAAACGAGGAAGACAACCAATTGCACATGCAAATATATCGTATAATGTTAACTTGTCTTTTCCGCATACAATTAGAAATAATATTAGTAAAAGTGAGAGTTATTAAGCATTCTGCTATCAACATGCGTGGTATCGTTGTTAGACGATACATGCGTTTAAACTTTCCAAGAAATATATATATATAGAACAAAAATTACATCAAAGAGAATAAAAGCAACGCCTTTGCTGTCATATATTCTCTCAATAAATTATTTACACGATCCATTTCTCAGATGATTCTGTTTGAATATCCACACATGTTATTTACCTTTCGAAGTAATTATTCTTCAATGCTAAGCATCTAATTTGTTCGATGTATTCATAATTACAGGTACATTCGAAGAAGAAACTATAATTTAGTCTACGAAGAAATTGAAAAATAAATTGTCTATTATCAAGACTGAGAGGTTATTTGGCTCTATTCAGCGAAATGATATACGAACATTTCGCATGAGTTCAATCGAAAGAAGATTAAAGCGGGTTTTTATATACATTTGACTTAATGATTAAGTTGTCATCAAAGTTCATCGCTAAGATCAGATATCTTTACATATGATAAAAGCATGTGCTTATGAAATAAGAGAGAAAAAAATGTGTAAGATGTCAGCAGAACTGTTGAGATAAACATCAGGACAATGATATAATCTATAATTTTTTGTCACGTCCAATTTGTCGTTGACAAACTGGACAAATATGTATTACATCCTAACGAAGATGAAACGAATAAATAAATCGATTTCTTTCGTGGAAAAAAGAGTTCAACGAACATACTTTCAAACTGTCCATGAAAAATGGAATTAAACAGCAACCAAATACGCAGCCAATGAGACAGAGAACAATCACTATAATCCATACAAGAGCACCATTCCTATTTTCCACGCGTGATATGATCGCTTGGTGACAATACGGACAAGTACATGGCATTGGATTTGGACCTGTTGGTGACATTGCAGAGAATACTTGTGGTGGGTAGTTTTGTTTCGGCACATTGTGCATGTGTGACGTCGATTCATGTGGATGATCATCTAATTAAACAGATAAATCGATAAAAATTTTCACTGAACAGATACACGAATTACAATAAGGTGGTGGCACGTTGGTCATTGGAGTATGATTCGAAATGAACTACGCTGTATCGCTAGTGCTGTTTGATTTCAATTAAATGACACGAAAAAGATGAAATAACAGATAGGATATATCTATCACTATTGTCGTAGTCAAGGACATGTTTGACTTAACTATAATGTATTTGCTCTGCACAAATATATAGAATTGAATTAAAGTTAACAGTTTTCTTTTTCTTCTTACGCGTTGACACGAATTATCTATCATCGTATGGTTTTTCAAAACGAAATCCATGGTTGATTTCTGCTACGAGAATCGTGTTAAATTGTCTAGACAAAAGAGGTCATATAGCGCTGTGTAGGTTCTGTTCGATTTCTTTCGTCGTCGAAATCGATTCATGGCCAGTAACTTCTTCTTGTTCTATTCTGAACAATGATGTATACATATATATCGCCATGTACAAATCTTCAATAGATAATGTAATATGACAAGCATATAATTATAGTCGTTGAGACAGACTGACGAACATGTCAAATGAAATAAACGTTTTTACGATGCACATCTTTATTTTATACATATTGTCTCGTCTTGAACAAAATTCATAGTGAACATTAGGTCGATTATTATTTTAGTGATCAACAATGCAAATCATGATTGAGCGAATATGTTTGTTCGACGTTTGAAGATCCGTAAGTAGGACTTTTCTCTGCTAGAACACGAATGAATCGAATTTTACTGAGAAGGTGATCAGCCGATAAATATTTTTGGTGATGGTCTATATCAGGCGCAAGTTAATGTTCAAACATCGGTTATAATCGATGCACGTTCATCTTACAATCCGACGGACGAAGTCAAGATCGTCATTCTACCATCAGAACGTTCCGATCTTGTTGAAGTTGTCAATCAAGGTGATGGTATATGGACGATTAATTACATTCCATATGAAATTGGGGAAATGCAACTGATGATCTATCTTGCTGAAAAGCTCATCCATCAATATCCATACAGGATCAATGTTTTCGATATCAATCAAGTTAACATATCAAATCTAACGAATGGTCACATGAATCAAGTTGTTCGATTCAGTATTGATACGATCCGAGCTGGTATTGGACAACTGGAAGTGTTTGTACAAGATGGACAAGTTCTGTGCAATGCCATATCATACGGCAACTCACAATTTGATGTTAGTTTTCTCCCACGACAAACTGGTCTACATAAGATCGATATTCGATTTAATGGATTAACAATTCCAGGTAACCGATTGATTCTGATCGAAGGTCGTCATTGATAGGAGATTTTTTTTTTCTTCTATTAGGTAGTCCGTTTTCTTGTCAGATCGATGAATTACAACGAATGATAGTATCTAATCATTTGACGAATGTTCATGTTGGACATCCGGCTTCGTTTGATATTTGCAATCAATCATTATCATTTGACATTAATATCACTGGTAAAATGCAATTGATGTTATAAATGAAAGAAAAAATCGTTCGTTTCTTTTTTTTTCAATTTCTTTTTCGTCTTTCAAGCACCATCAAGTCGTTCTGTTCCCTTTCAACATTCGCAATTGAACACGAATGAGACACGTATTGACTATATGTTGAATGAAATTGGTGAGTGAATAGATAACTAATCAACGTGTCAATTGATAGGCACGAGAACCCGAGTGACCATAGGAGGCCATCTATTAAGTACGAATTTTTTATAAATATGTCTCATTGAACAATATTTGACAAGGTTTAATATTTAATTCAAACCTAAACTAGGAAAAATCGAAATTAAATTTCTCGTTACGTTTAGTCGCTGACGTAAGACAGATCAAATCAAGGAGCTGCACATATTTTCAAATATGTTCGCAAGTAGTAGTGTCTATATATACATATACATTTCGAAATAGTACACCTTTACTTCGTATCATTTGATATGCATATAAACTTACCTTCAGAAAAAGATGCGCGATATAGATCGAATGCAAAGACCATGAAGAAAAAAAAACATAACATCTGTCTGACTTTCACTTCGTACCATCTATATGTTTTTTTTCCTTGATCAGGCCTGCATCGTGTAGATGTACGATCGAGTCGAAAAATGGAGATATATGGTTCGCCGTTTATACTTCAATCATTTGATACAAATCGTATAGTGGTTTCGGAAATACCACGTTTTATTATTTATAATCAGCCAGCTGAATTTACAATCGATGCATTAAAAGCTGGCGAAGGACAATTGGAAGTTGCGATCAACAATGGTCAAGTGCCCAATAAAGTCAAGTCTTTGGGTAAATGCAAGTTTCACTTTACCTTTCTTCCAACGTCAAATAACCTACATCAACTGTCGGTCAAATTCAACGGACGTGATGTTCCTGGTAAGCAAAAGCCCATCTTCGCAAATGATCGTTCTATTCTGAGAAACTTTCAGGCTTTCCAAAAGAATGCCATGTCATTACAGCTGATGATATCAAAATTCACGGGCCCGGTCTTAGTCAGGTTCTACTGGGTGCTCAAACTTGGTTCACGATTGATACATCCCATGGCAGCTCATCGAACATCGATGTGACAGTATTTTCTCCTACGGGTGAATCCACCACTCCGTCAACATTGTTAACTATTGCTGGACTTCGAGTGGATTGGACCCCGACGGAAATTGGAACTTATAGAATTCATGTAAAGTTAGATGGGAAACTCATTCCTGCTAGTCCATTCTATGTGAAATGTTACGATCCGAAAAAGGTTCTTGTTACACCGACAACAAACGATAGTGCTATTGGCAAGCCAACCAAATTTCGAAGTAAGTTTCGCAAAAATGACAGGAGTATCTTTCTTACTCATTGAGCAGGAAAAAAGATGTGACACACGTTTTATCTAATCTTACTAGTCGACGCATCGATGGCAGGTGAAGGTAATCTCGAGATTAGTGTGAATTACTCTGGTCAAAATATACCCAACGATGTGAATCCAACCGGAAAGAGTTGTTACGAAGTTCAATTCATTCCGCACAAAGCAATGACACATTATTGCAATATACTTTTCAACGGCGAACTTGTTCCGGGTAACTTACATACTGTTCATTAGTAGTTCACGAGAGAAAATCAAAATTTAAATGAATCTACTTTTCTTTTTTGTCACACCCTGCGACGAGCGTATGCGCGAAAGTGTGTGAGCGTCGAATGTAACATAGTGTGATTGACAAGGTTACTTTTCTCCACTCCCTCCTTCTTTCATTCTTATCTTATCTAGATACGCTTAATATTAGACATAAATCGTATGATAACCCGCAACAATATCGTCAATAGCTTTTTAAAGCAAACAATTAGCTCGAAAAGATTACTAGTTCGCTTGCATTTTTTTTTCGAAACTGTTTCATTATGTCAAGATATGTACCATCATTAATTTTGTTGCATAGTCATAGTAATATAAAGACGGGTGAAGCAAAACGAATCAAGCGAAAGTGAACATATATGTAGTTCTTTCAAGCGCATCAACATAACTGAGCGAAAGAAAGAGAGACAGAGAGAGAGAGAAAGGCAGACAGAAAAAAAAGTGAATGATAGAAGAGTCGAGCGGAAAAATTCACTTTTTAATTTGTATGAAGAAGCCATATGTATGTTTGCTCTTCATAAAACATCAATTTGCACTCGAACATCTCCAGGTAGCTTTCTAACTAGATTTTAAGGTGAAGGGAATGAGTCACAAAAACTTACGAATTCTGTTCGTCTGGTTTTAGGAAGTCCATTTCCTGTCAATGTTATGGAAAATCAACGTGTTACAGCAATGGGAAAAGGTCTGGGCTCAAATCCGATCAATATTCCCACATCGTTCACTGTTGTCACTCAAAACGATGATGTTGGAAAACTAAAATGTTCGATAAAAGGTTTGCTATTCAATCTTTGTCTTCGTTTTTCGGTAATGGATTTCTATTAACACCTAATTTAGTTTCTCTTTTCCTACTAATCACGTATCTGTAAGTACCGCTGACCTGATTTCGCTTGCGAACATTTCAACGGATCTGTTTGTAGGACCCAATGATCATTTAATCTCATGTATCACAACCAAGATCGATCCCAATCGATACGAAGTCACTTACACGCCCGATCGTGTCGGTGAGTTACCTCATACAAATTCTTGTTTTAAAATCAATTATTTCGCCTAGGTGAATTTCATATCGATGTGCTTCATGATGATATACCCATTGACGGTAGCCCATTTACATCACAGTCGTACGATATAAATAAAATCAAAACATTCGATTTTCCGTCATCAACAACTGTGAGCACGCCGACATCATTCATCAGTAAAATTTCAATTAAAATCATTGAACAATAGGAGAAAAAAATATATATCTCTTTCAGTTGACGCAACCGATTCGGGTGCCGGCAATCTGGAGATCGCCATATCCCGGGATGGAAAGAACATTCCAAACTATGTGCAAAATGAAGGCGGTGCTCGTTTTCGTGTTAATTTCCTTCCCGATAAACCTTGTGCGCACTATATACGAATCAAACTCAATGGCATTCACATTCATGGTAAAGAAAAACGAAACAATTTTCGACTAATTACATACACGAATGTTTTGTTTTTCTATCACGAAAACAGGATCGCCATTCATCTGTAATGTTTTCTCAAGTGAACTAACGTTTGAAAATTATGAATATGCCTCGATTAACAAACGAACGTCGTTGGTCATCAAGCCGAAAACTCATTCGATGTTTAATCCTAACATTCACGTAGAGATCGTCACACCAGCAGGAAAGAAATTAAAAAGCAAAATCGAAAAATTATCACCAAAATTGTATACGATTGCTTTCGTGCCAACCGAAATCGGCGATCACGAGATAAGATTTTATCATGACGAAGAAAAAAAACTAATTATGACGAAATTAAATTGTCAAGTTTATGATATAAGTAAAATACGTGTCAGTGATTTACCACTTGCTGTTCCTCATGAACCGTGTAAATTTACAAGTAAAATTAATTTTCTCAACCAAATTATTATGTTGTTTGATTGTTATCTTTAGTTAATACAACAGATGCTGGTAATGGCGTTCTGTCAGTTCGAATTAAACAGAAAGAAGATGTTCGGCCACACGAACAAACAAGAATTTCGAAGCATGTTTATGAAATTTCATTTGTACCCGACACAACCGAAGAATGTACCGTACAAATCGCGTACAACGGAGAAACTAATTGTAAGTTATTTGATGGGTATAACTTGATAAACTGTGAAATTTTATTTTAGCACAAACATTGACAGTCCCTGTTAAAACGGATAGCGAACAAGTACGTGTTTCATCGATACCGCCGGGTATCGTTGGTCAACCGATCACATTCACAGGTAAAAATTCCAATTGATTCCCGATTGGACTAACAATTTCATTGTAGTCGATGTGGCTGATGTGAATCTTCTTACAATTCTCATCACAGAAACTCACTCCGGTCGTGTTGTGACTCACAGTATGACATCCAGATCAAATGATAAGAGACACTATGAAGTTTCATTTGTACCGACGATTCCGCGCCAACATACCGTAGCCGTTACTTACGATGAGAAATTGATCTCCACATATCATGTTGATGTCTGTAATGTAAATAGAATTCGTGTTAGTTCAATTAGTGATGGATTCATCGGTGTTCCGTCAGTGTTTTCTGTGGACACACATGGTGCTGGTGAAGGACATTTGGAAGTGACAATTAGTGACGGACGACGAACGTTGCCAGCGGAATTGAAAAGTGTTCAAGCAAGAAAATTCGACATTGCGTTTGTGCCTGAAAGTCGAGGAACACATTCGATTTCTATTGCCTTCAATGGAATTCCGATCGAAGGAAGTCCGTTTACGATGAATATTCAAGACAAGCCACCTACCGACGATAGTATTTCGGATGCGAGAGATGATGATGGGGAAGAAGATAACTACGAAGAAGATGGAGACGAAAATGGTGATCATGAATTTCTTATTGGTGGTCAATTAGAAGGAACAAAAGTGGGCGAGGTAGCATGGCTAATTTGTGAATCGACTCTAACGGATACCTACGAAGATTTCAACCTATTCGTTCTCGGTATGTTTGATGAGACAGGAAAAGATCAGTTTTTTCAACGTAGAGTTGTATTTTAGATCCCGACGAAATTATGATCAAACACACACGAATACAAGACTCGGGTGGTCGTTGGCGTATTGAATTCGAACCAGTTAAAGCAGGCAGCTATTCTATACAAACAGATGTCGATGATTCACAACTCATTCTTGCTACAATGGATATTTTACCATTAGAATATGAACGGAATGTCTATGGTGAACGTATTGTTCATCCAAATGTTGCTAATTTCATTTCGATTAATTGTAAAAATGATGATATGAAAGTTAAACTACGATGTAAGATTATCTCATCTCGATTCTTATCGGTTCATATATCGTTAATCTAGGTTCGAATGGTGATGAATTTCCAATTGAAATTGAAAAGGATCCAACAGAATGGAAAATCTATTTCACATTAACTGAAATCGGTTAGTATTAACTATGATGATGATGATTTCTGATTGAATTCAATTTGTTCTCTTTAGATTATTATCAATTAAGTGTGACCAATGATAGTAATGAACAAATATTTGATATTCATTGTGTAGCTGAAGAGATCGATGTCTTACGAAACGGAGGTGTAGAAGATATTACACGGATTATTGTCGATCAAAGTAAAATCATAGCTGATGATGTGAATGTGATTGTTAAAGGTAAACTGATCAGAAATCGAATTTTCGATGTACGAGATTCATGGTGTCTCTTTAGATCCATTGGCACACACGATTCCAGCGGCATTCTATCGAAATTTGAATCGAGATCTCGTTATTGAATATATACCTGTTCGAACTGGTGAGTGATGAGTTTGTTGATTGTTAGCAGAGGTGAAAAACTTGAAATGTTTTCTGTTATTTAGAAGTGCATGAAGTATTCATTCGCACGCAAAATAATCTTTTCGATATTTGTCCTATTCGTGTGATGGCATTTCGTGCGAAGAATACGTTTGATCCGGTTCTTCGCGTTCAGGTGAAAGAACTTCTCGAACACACATTTCACGGTGTTATTGACAATGATAATAAACTAGAAATCAGTATCACTGGTATGAAAACACTTTCAAAACACAAATAAGTGACTTGCGTATCTGTAGATCCATTCGATAAACCAATACCATTCCAACATTCAAAGAATGAAAATGGCGAATTGAAAATCTCTCTCTCACCAGTTCGTGTCGGTAAGTGAAATTCTCTTTCGCTCACCAAATCATCAATCCTTTGTTTAACATAATTCAAGGAACTCATTGGATACGCATTACAAATGATGAAAGTGATAGTTTCGCTCTACTGCCTATCTTTGCTTTCGATGATGATTATGTTCCGTTATCACCTGTGGCTACGCCTTCACCTAATGATAAATTCGTACTAAATCAAAATTCGATTAATAATAATACGACGGATTCGTTTTCTCTCGTACGAGAATTAGCAGCTATTCATGAAGTAACAGAAAATTCATCATCAGCTTCGGCACCACAAACTCAACGTCAAGCATCGCCAGAGAAAGAAAATACTTCTCAAGTTGTACCGAACGGCCGTGAAGCATCACCTGTTTCAATTGAGGAACCATCGACGAAGGTAGAAGTACTCGATATGGCTGATTTAATCGATCCGGGTGTTCGTATTACATCGAAATTCTCATTGAAAGATCCAAATGATGAATTCAAAGTTCAAATCTGTGGTAAACTACAAACCATTCGATTGTAAACTATACATTTCTCGATCTTTTTCTAGACGCCAATGATGAAAATATACCATGTAAAGCTGAAAATCTACCCGATGGACGAAAATACATATCGTACGAACCGCTCGTTGTTGGTATGTTCAGTTTATCGTCTCCAGAGAAGATTTTCGTGATTTATTTCTATAGGACCTGTCAAAATTCATATATCGAAAGGAACGGAGCCTCTGATTGGTAGTCCATTACTAGTTCATGCATTCGATCCATCATCAATCCAGATAATGAATTTTCCAACGAAAATATATAAAAATTCTATGAATTCTTTTCTTATTGACCCCACACTAGCTGGAAAAGGATCGTTAAAAATTATCATTAAAGGTTTGCTAATTAATATTTACACTACACGAATTATTTGCTTGCACTTTTAGATCCGAGCAATCGATCTTTACCTATTACTGTTCAGAAACAATCAAATCATCAAATTGTCGTTCAATTTGAACCGATTGTTTCAGGTATTTTGAAAAACAGAAATGATTTCTTTCTTTCAACCGTTCATATTTCCATTCACAGGTTTACATTCAATATCTATTTTATTCAATAGAATATCCATACTTGACACGACGTTTCAAGTACTCGCTGAAAATACTGAAGAGCGTAAGAATTTCCCGACTAAGTTTTCGGTATTCTATTCTGAACTTTTTAAGCATCGGCAGGAAAAATTGCGCGTTTATCGGAAATCGAACAACGTGGCCGTTCGATTTTCTCCAAACATGAATTGCTGATACTTGCGCAGCAACAAGAAAAAACACACACAATTCAATCTTTTGCATCCAAATCTACTGAAACGACCGTGCTACCGAAAGAATCCATCGTTATTGAAGAACATCCTCAAACATCGAACAAAGTCGAAGATATACATCAACCAAAGTCACAAACGATACAATTGACTGATGCGGAAATACGACGATTTCATCTATTAAAAGAAAAATTCGAACGAGGAGAGCCGATTGATGTTGTGTTCGGTAAGCAGACAATCTTTTTTTATGTACAGACACACAAATGAGGTAACTTTCTTTACCTTCAGATCCACGACGATATCCATTCAAAATCATTCTACAACGTGCATATCCAGTTGTTAATGATGATATACATCTCATAAGTAAACAAAATTTTTCTTTCTAATAGAACTCATATCTATTGATTCGAATAACTAGTCGATCTTCCACATGTTGTGTACGTAAATATCATAAAAGACACAATGAAAATACCATTGCAAGCTGCACGTAGAAATGATGATAAATTTCTACTAAAATTTCGTCCAACATTCGAAGGCGATTATTTGATTCTTTTAAAGAACTACATGGGACAACCTATGCTAGGTAAAATAAATGCATTCACTAAAACCAATTCATCCCTTGCTTATCTTTCCAGATTGTCCATATGTGTTTCCTGTTTACAATCCTGATGCTGTTCAACTTGAACCATTCAATCATTTTCAACCGATTAACAAATGTCATTTTATCTGTAAGTCAATAACGACTTTCTCTTTTATCGAATTTATCACACATCTCCTCGTTAATCTTAGGTAATATTGATAACGTTGATCAAGGAAAATTCTTTATCATGGTATTTGATCCATTGAAACCACTGAAAATACCGTATAAGCTTCACTTATTATCCGCTAATCGAATTCTTATCACTATCATCCCATCGAAAGTGGGCATGTATCGAATTTATCTGGCGTATAAGAACATTCCGATTAACGGTAAGACGAAATATTTATTGTGTATGTTTATCTACAGATGCACACGAGAGAAAACCACCCATCAATAGAAATGCTGAAGAAAAAAAGGGAAATGTGTAGCCAAAACAGATTGAATAGGACTTGGTGTAAATGGTAAAACACTTCCGGTTGGGATCGATCTTATCGGTGTACGCGAGTGCAGATCTTCAAATGATGTTTCATGGACAGATTTCGAATATGTCTCATCATTTTCCATTTCATTTTCACTGGTGCTTGTTTTTGTTACCAGACGTTTTCGACAACGCGATCGTTTATTTTGAAACCAAACCTAAATCACAAAAAAATTCGTTGTGATTATCTTTGCTTCCTCGAGGCACTCACTTGTACACGTGCTTCACTTGTACCGATTTCATTTGATAATTGTTCTCGACGATGAATATCCGGATATTGTTCTTGCAGGAAGGCATGTTCGAGTATTTGAATCGATCGATCATCGAAATAAGTTCGTGCGCGACGAGCACGATTTTTCGGCGGTGGGCAAAGAAGAACGCTTGATTGTTCTGTTGAGCTAGAATTGGTGTCTTGAGAGAGCAATCGTTTAACTGAATAATCATATGGACTCTGTTGTTGACGTGGCTTTTCTACTGACATCGTTTTCATTTAATTCTGTTGTGATCCATTCGAGTATGACCATTATATAGGGAAACAAGATTCGTTAGAAATGTCTTGACAACCAATGATTTCTCACCTTTCTTCTCTCTCTCTCTCTCCCCTCTTATCTAGCTGTGTCTGATTTGTCATCTTTATCAATTAATGACGATTCCGTCATTGTTTTGAAGATACGACAATCAGCTTAGAAACGATGTTTATTTTTTAACTTCGAATGAGAAGTTGTCTATCGTATTTTCTAAACAGAAACAAATTGATATACGATGGTCTCTTTTGATCATTTCGAAACAAATGAATTGATCAATAATCAAAAATACACCTCTTCATTTTTTGATTCCAGGTACGCCATTTGATCTGAGCGTTTACGACGTTCAAGCAATATCTGTTGTTGCTGAACACAGTGAGCCTGTTGTTGTTAGAACTACTGTGGCATACAAAGGTATTTTCGATGGTTCACATAGAAAGTTGTAAGTTTCGATCGTAAAATGTCTTTTGTAGTCAATACGAGTCAAGCTGGCCAAGGACAATTGAAAGCAGAACTGATAAAACCTGAAACATCGACAATTTCATGTCGATGCCATGTACACGAACTGAAAAATCATGAATATCTCATTCAATACATCCCTAGTGAACCTGGCCGATATCAATTACGGTTATTATTCAATAATCAATTGATACAAGGCAAAACGATTGACACCGATGTCTATTCATTGTTACCACCGCCGATTCCTCCGTCGACACTCTCAGCATACCCACTCGTTCATATACATAAAATTGCACCGAATGATATTCCTCGTGTTGGAGATGATATTTCACTTGAAAGTATGGTTTCTTATAGAAACAAGTTCAACTGAAATCTCTTTCGTTCATTTGTAGTTATTACTGAAAAATCCGATATACGCGGTCAAATTTCATGCAATGATATTCCTATTCCATCTAAACTTGTGCAAACCAAAGATACACATATATGGCATCTCAAATTTCGTCCATATGTCGTTGGTACACATAAGATACATCTTCTTCATAACGGAACATCGATTATGAGTATGAAAGTGATTGAATTCGAAATCATTTCAACATAATGATCTTTTCAGGTGCACCATATCTAATTCAAGTCAAAGATTCGAGTGATAAACATCTGCTTTCCGGTTTGACGAATACACCTTGCGTGATACAAAGTAGGTCTTTTTGAAAAGATAAGATGGTCATCTCATAAAATGCTTTTAGTTCATACAAAATCAACATCGAACTCGCAGATCCAAGCGGTAGTTCTGCTTGATACTGTCGAGATTCCATCGACCATGACAGTTATCAATGATAATCTTATTCGTATCAATTTCACACCGAAAGAGCCCGGGTTCTATTTAGTGAACATTTCTAATCGCGACAAACCAATCACTGGTGCGTAAACAATCAAAGGGATAATCGAATATCATCGTATGCGTTTATTTAGGGTCGCCGTTTTCTATACGTATTGAACGATCGGATGTAGTGCAAGTTACTGGTAAATGTTTCCATCGTTTACGTTTGAGCGATCTGGGTATCTTTCGTATTCACTGTCATGGTCAACGTGGATCAATCAAAGCGAAGGTTTATAGTAAGTTGATTGCTAAAGATTAATACTGCCATAAGTTCTTTTCTTCGTTCGATTTAGATCTTTCCACAGGCAATCGTACTGATTTAGGACAAGTGATTTCATTTCAATTGCTGGAACCCTACGAACAATTGCTACAATTTCCAACACAGATCTTTGTTACATCATTAACAATACTTCTTACCGCTCGGTTAAGATTGACACAAGATCGAATTCGAAACTTGACGCTGCAGGAAGAAAACGGTTGGTATTCGGCGTTAGTCAGAGATAATGAGAAATCAAAAATCGAATCTCGATTTAGGACATGCAACAGTGATGTTTCAATTATTCGAGATTCCATCCCCACAGATGCCAACGAATGAACAAATCATCAATGCCTTACGAGGTTTGATTGATAAACAAATTCTCAACTTATTCGATCCGAATCGACGATTACTGCATGCGATATGCGGATCATTAGTCGTTGGTACGTACAGCCATTTAGTTGTATCGTACTGTTTTCTAATCCTTCCAATCAATCAATAGGTCCAAAAGGTGAAACGGTGAGTGTTAAACTATTTCCGCAAGCCAACGGTGATTATATGGGTGAATTTACACCAAAAAAAGTTGGTAAGTATCGAAAGACTCTGGAAAAGCACGAGAGATTTATGATATGGTTTTAGGTCAACATCGAATCGATATTGTCTTTGGTAACGTGCCGATTCAGGGCAGTCCATTATTTACTGAAGTATACGATCCATCACAAGTACGGTTTAGTGTGATACCGAAAGATATCTTTGTCGGAGTTGAGACTACATTGGAAGTCAACACGGACAATGCTGGAAGTGTACCACTTGAAGTGACAATGTTTTCACCGTCGGGTGCAAGTCGTAAGCTTCATTTGATTGATCAGAGCTTGTATAGATACGAATGCGACTTTCTTAGTTCCGTGTGAGATTGACGATACCACAAAAGTTACAAAAGTGCGTTTTACACCGACAGAACCTGGTATACATACTTTAAATGCAAAATTTGGTTCAGACCCGATACCAGGTATGATATATCTACGAAAAATTGCCAATTTTATTCTTATCAATCAAAGGTGTACCAATGAAAATAACTGTGCATAACACTCGTGTAATTACTGCGTATGGTGATGGAATACATCATGCTATTCAGGAAAAAGAAACAACATTTATGATAAATACAAGTGAAATGCAAGGTGATCTACAAGTTTACATGGAAGGTAAAATGACAAACGAAGAATTTTCCAATAAAATATATTTTTCGGTCGAAATTAGGTCCTAATTCTATTATTCATCCAACAGTTGATCGAATTACTAACACCTTAGTTAAAATACTTTATCAACCTGTGGAAGTGGGTTTTCTTAATATAAATATCAAATGGAATGGAAAACATATTGTCAATAGTCCGTTCAAAGCGCTTGTAACCAATCCAGGTTGGAATAAGTTTGCATAAAAAATATCTCATACAACTTTCGTTTCTTCATAGATCGCATCCGAATTGTGGGCGGATGGCAAGCATTATTCGATCAACAGAATTGTATGCGTGTGATTACAAACGAAGAGAAAAAGATTTGTTTCGATACATCTCAAGCTGGCCCGGGTAAAATTGCCTTTTGTTTTCTAAATGTTATCCTATTTGTATCAATTTGCTTTTTGAAGGTATTTTGAAAGCAGATGTTCGAAGTGTTGATAGTACTTGTATACCATTGCGTATTGATCAGCAAGGCACATTGTCGACTCTGACATTTACGGCTCGGCGTGATGGGGAATATGACATGACGATAACACATGCCGGTCGATTGCTACCAAAGATGCCTATACGTATCGTTGCGACAACAGCGAGCTCGGAACCGTTACGAGTAGGAATTTATGGTCGCGGTTCGTACGAAGCACGAGTTAACGAAGAAGTGGAGTTTTTCATTGATGCTTCACGGGCACCAGTTCAGAATTCCAACCAATTGAATGTTCGATTGAGTGGAAAACAAACTGACATAGACGTTCGAATTCGACAAATTGAAAAAAATCGAAACATATTCATCTGTTCCTATAAAGCAACAATACCAGGTATAATTTTCATACCTAAACACTAGTATGTGTACTGTATTGCATATTTTCAGGTATCTATCTACTGAACATTCTATGGGCAGATAGACAAATCCGTGGATCGCCATTCAAAGTCAATGTTCTGCCGAATGCTACAATTAATCACTCGTCATCACAAGTCATCTGTTCAGGTGATGGTTTACGAGCGGGCATAGTAGGAAAAGAAACGAAATGTACTATTGATACACGGACAACAGATCTTGGTGAATTAACCGTCTATTGTCAAGGAATGAATAAGAAAGCTAATTGTCGATTAGTCGATCATCGTGATGGTACATTTTCTTTGTACATTAAACCTGAAGAAACTGGAAAACATCTATTAACTATTAAATACAATGGAATACATGTGCCAGGTAGTCCGTATACAATCAAAGTGAGCGGTCCACTCGATGCTAGTATGTATTAAAAAATTTTGTAAATGTTAAGCAAAAAGAACGATCGACTTGTTTAGATAAAGTACGTGTTTATGGTCCAGGTATAGAACACGGAGTACTGGCAACATTTCAGTCGCATTTTATTTGTGAAACAAAAGGAGCAGGTAATGAAAATCGTTCCTTTGTTTTGCTCTCATCAATGAAAGTCTGTTCATTAGGTGCCGGACAGCTGACAGTCAAAGTTCGAGGTCCCAAAGCCGCCTTTCGTGTTGAAATGCAACGTGAACATTTACAAGATCGTACGATTGTTTGTCGGTATAATCCAACTGAAGCTGGTGATTACATTGTGTCGGTCAAATGGAGTGGCGAACACGTATTTGGCTCGCCATTTCACATACATATATTTCAAAGTCAGGAAGAATTTGATCTTTGTCGCCAAGAACTGATTGAATACCGATGTGATGACCAACAGCGAAGTGAAAAACCATCATAGGAAATTTTTCTTTAAATTAAGTGTAGGTGTGTGTATTTTTGTTCTATTATTTCGAATGATTTCCGTTTTTCGTTTCTGTAAACAAATTTTTAGCAATACTATTACTCGTTGTTTTACACACTAAAACCTTTCCATTCTGCACGGAAAATATTCTCTTTGTTCAGTTTCAATGCGACATCTTTTCTTGTTGTCTTTAACTTGTGTTTTTGTCCGAGCAATAACGCTACAAGGTTTCGTTTAGTATATATTTTATTGCAAGAGTCCGAAGATTACAGGTAATTTCGTATACTCGTGTGCTAGACATGTCGACAAAAGCGAATATGAATGAAACACCACTGGAGCAGATTGAAACTATTTTGAAAGATCTTCGCGCTTCATTCAAATCCGGCAAAACCAAACCGTTATCATGGCGTAAAAAGCAAATCGAACAACTATATAAAATGTGTGATGAACAAAGAGAACTGTTTGCTTCGGCAGCAAACACAGACTTTGCTCGGCCAATTACAGAAACATATCTGTATGATTGTGGTGTTGTAAGTAGTTTCAATCAAACACAAGTTTATTACTATTTTGATTTTGAAAAAAGATCCGTAATGAATGTATTCATGCTCTTAATCATCTCGACGAATGGGCAAAAGATGAATATCGTTCAGATTCATTAGCATATGCAACGATGAGCAAATACGTTCATCCTGAACCGTACGGCACTTGTTTAATCATCGGTGCATGGAACTATCCGTTCAACTTAACATTGTTACCGTTACTCGGTGCTATTGCTGCGGGAAATTGTGCCATTGTGAAACCGTCGGAATTAGCACCACATTCTGCATCTGCCTTGACAACGATGATTGGCCGATATCTTGATTCATCTTGCATTCGTGTTGTTCTTGGAGCTGTCGACCAAACTCATGCATTGCTAAAAGGAGATATTGATCATGTGTTTTATACGGGCTCGACAGCAGTTGGCAAGATTGTTGCGAAAACGGTAGCTGAGAAAATGATTCCTGTCGTATTAGAATGTGGCGGCAAAAGTCCGGTTTATGTTGCCGATGACGCAAATATAGCAGTGACAGCGAAACGTCTTGCATGGGGAAAAACCGTCAATTGTGGTCAAACTTGGTATATCGAATTTTAGTTTACAATGATTTTCTATATACTATGAAAATTTCGATTTTTAGTTTGGCACCTGATTATCTTCTGTGTTCTAAAGCCACCGAGAGTCGTCTAATACCGGAAATTATTCGTGCATGGCGAACATTTTATACTGATAATCCAGTCAATTCAGATTCTTACTGTCATATTGTTAACGGACGGCATTTCGAACGCTTGAAGAAACTTATCGACACGAGCAAAGTTGTCTACGGCGGAGAAGCAGATGCCAATCGAAACTACATCTCACCGACTATCATGTGCGTAAACAGATCTATTCGGTTGATTCTCTATAAAAGGAGTTTCATTTATTCTTAAAGGACCAATGTCGATGAAAACGATAAAGTAATGCAAGAGGAAATTTTCGGACCTCTTCTTCCGATTGTTACGGTGCGAAATGAACATGAAGCAATTGAATTTATCAATGCTCGTTCTAAACCATTAGCACTATATATATTTACATCGAACAACAACTTAGCTAAAACGATTATCAATTCAACTAGTTCAGGTTCCACTTGTGTTAACGATGTCATCTTTCAAATTGCACCACCATCATTACCATTTGGTGGCGTAGGAGACAGTGGTATGGGAAGTTATCATGGTAAATATTCATTTGACACATTTAGTCATCACCGCTCGGTGGTGTATTCAGCAACATGGTCAGAACCTATTCTTTCCAAACGAAATCCACCATACACAAAGCAAAAGACAGCTTTTATGGAATCCTTGGTTAAAGCTCGTCGAAATTGGGTCCCATTATCGCGAATTGGTGGATTTTGGTTTTGGGCATTTGCTGCTCTAGCTACCGCTGTGATTACTCGCGTTCTCATTCGTGGCTTTCGAGATGATAAATGGGAATTTTGAAAACTGTTTTTAACTTAATGATTTCTGAGAGAATTCATGAATAAATGAAAAATTTGTCCGTATTTTTTGCGTTTTGTAATCAAAACTCGTCAAAGATTTCATATCTCTATCATCACAATGCCTTGTTGCCATTTGAGTTCTTTCTGTTCTTTGCTTTACGATAGTGTATCACTTGGTCTGTTGAATCAATAAAAGAGGCGTGTACTTTGTTCTTTAAAATGCTACGGGGACATATGAAATGGAAAGTGTTGAATGACATTGTCAATAGAAGTATAGCATAGATCCATTCGTCTGTTTGATGTGAATGCATTAGACGGAGTGAAACTAAATTTTTATATCATTGAAGATTATATTCGAAGATCAGAGTATGGCATCATCGTCTGCAGCAAATTATGAATCTGAATTTGATTTCGAAGAATTATATACAAAAGATAAAACATTGCAACTACGTAGTGTCTACGTTCCGTAAGTCGATATGTTCTTTGCTATCTGCTCGAATCGGATTTGATTCATATCAATAGAAATTGCACTGAACTTTTCTATCGACATGATCCGTTGAAAATTGTCCGCTGTCAAGGAACGTACATGTACGATCAATTAGGACAAAGATATCTTGATTGTATCAATAATGTTGCGCATGGTAAGTATTCATTCTGTTAATTAGTTTATTGTTCATGACATTTTTCAGTTGGTCATTGTCATCCGTATGTGAATAAACAAATCTATAGACAAATGGGTGCTTGTGCAACGAATAATCGTTATTTACATGATAATACCGTCATTCTTGCAGAGAAACTAGCGAAAACATTACCGGAAGATCTTACTCAAATCTTTTACACTAACTCAGCGTAAGATTTACGATATTTCGAAGAGTTCATTGAATCGATTGTTTTCTTTAGATCCGAAGCAAATGATTTAGCAATTCGTTTGGCGAGACAATACACCGGAAATTATGATATTCTTGCATTGGACAAGTATGTTCAAAGGAAACGTTTTCTTAGTAGAAAGAACGAAGAAAGTCTGTTGTTTTTAGTGCTTATCATGGTCATCTATCAAGCTTGGTTGAACTATCCACGTACGAGTTCAAAAAGTTCAAAACACCAGTGAAAATTCCCGACCATGTGCATATTGTAAGTGAGAAATTCGTCAGCGTTTGTTGAATGTCACTGTTCGTTATTCTAAGCTTCCAACACCTGATGTTTACCGTGGAAAATATCGCGATATTGATTATAATAATGACGAAGCCAAACTATGCGAATTATATGTGAATGAAGTACGTCAAATTGTCGAAGAAGCCGAAGCACGCGGTCGTCGTTTCGCGATATTTTTCATTGAAACATTGCAATCATGTGGAGGACAAATCATTTATCCAAAAGGATATTTAAAACAAACATTTGAGTAAGATTTCAGCTCGATTCCTCCTATTCTATATTTTATTTTACATTTAATTAATAGTTATCTTCAATCGAAAGGCATTTTATGCGTTGCTGATGAAGTACAGACAGGTTTTGGTCGAAGTGGTACTCATTTCTGGGCATACCAGTCCTACGAAGACGGTAACAACAAGAGGGATCTCTGCAAAAACATCTACTTCTCGATTGTTTTTTTTCATGGGCAGATGTTCGTCCTGATTTTGTCACCTTAGGCAAGTCGATGGGTAATGGTTTTCCTGTTGCTGGTTTGGTCACTCGAAAGGCGATCACCGACAAATTTGAAGCTCAAGGTATTGAATATTTTAACACCTATGGTGGTAATCCAGTTAGCTGCCGTGCAGCTATCGCCGTTCTCGACGTGATTGAAAATGAACACTTACAAGAAAATGCGCATAAAGTTGGTTTATATTTTGTCAATCGATTACGAGAATTGCAAAAGAAATACGAACTTATCGGTGATGTTCGCGGCCGAGGTTTGTTTCTTGGAATTGAATTAGTTAGCAACCGTGCAACACGAGAACCTGCCCCAATTGAAACGAAGGCAATTCAACTGAAGTATGAAATTTTCTGTGATATTTACAAAAAGCAATCTAATTGAATGATTTTAGACTTCGTGATAATTTTATTATCGTATCAATCGATGGTCCGGATCATAATGTGCTCAAATTCAAACCGTAAGTAATTCTTTATCGTACATGACAAGTAATAAGTTTATTGGTTTAGACCCATGTGCTTTGCAATGGTGGATGTGGATTATTTCTGTGAGAAATTCCAAGTCATACTCGAAGAAATGCAAACGATAAAATCAGAAATTGAAGGAAACAACGTTTAATTGGCTTTTTCTATGTTTTTGATTATTCCGAGATGAGATGATGTGCAGTGATTTAATTAGGAAAATAAAACTATCAGTTTGCTTTTGCCATTGTATGTCAAAGTATTGTGTATAGAGATATTCACCAGCATTTACACTCGCAATCTTATAAAAATCTTTTCAAGTCTCAACAAGTACACGCGAGGAGTACTTTGGAATTGAAGAATAACGCAGATGTCCTCAGTATTACATCGTTTTTATTAAAAAAAATGATACACCTAGATAAACATCTACAGAAGTATCTTGCATATCATATGCATGTGTGAATGCATTTATTATAAGAAGCAAAGTACAATATTCTTTACCAGTTACTTGTTTCCCTCATGGGCAACGCACAACGATTTCATCGTCATCAACTTGAACTTCATCGTTCCGATGCGATTTATGTTCCCAGTGATATTATTTCAGGTTCGATAGCAAATATAACCAACGAAGATTTATCAATTGTGGTAGTCGGTACCGTTCGATTCAAAAAACACAAGAAGAAACAAATCGAACATTGTGAAATCGACTTCTTTTCGTCAGGAATTCCGCTGATACCGTCGCCTTCACAAATATTTCAGATTCATTTAACCGAACATCTTCCACCATCATTTAATCAATCAAATACTTTTCCGCAGATATCATATTCCCTCAATTTAGTTGATCGAGCATCGAAACCTCGAATCTACTCTACACTTCCCTTACATATCCAACCTCGGACGCAGATTCATCATCCATCACTTCTAACGCCATTAGTCTTCGGACCGGTTGCCAATGATGACTACCAGACAAAACTTCAAATCAAAATTAACCGATCAGCATATCAATTCGGCGATGTAGTTTGTCTATTCTACGAATTGCAAAATCCAGCCGGAGTATCCATTCATAAGATCGACGTTAGCTTAGGAATCTACTATCTTGTTGAGTCAAATATTTATCAAGAAGATATCACAAATACAACCGAATGTTTTAACGAGATACTCTCAACGCAAAAACTATTCCGACACAAAGCTATTTTACATATTCCTGAGGACGTCTATCTACCGCCAACATTTAAATATAAACACGATCAAGGTGATGAACGAGCACAATTCCATTTAACAATTGAATACAAGGTACAATTCAAAGTTTATTTAGGAAATTCCGACGATCTATGGCAAGTTGATATTCCCGTAGCGCTATGTCATGAAATTCTTGAGCAAGCAAAGACTGAACTTTGCCAAATGTCACAAGAAATATAGATTATTATTATTAAGAAAGTATCACAAATAAAACTACACCTACAACAAATAACGATAGTAAGACTGACGGATGATATGTTCGAAAATACATAAATCCTTAGATGGAAGTCGGAATGGTCACTATATCACATAGGAAAATGGATAAAATATCACGTTTAGCTGTCTATCTGGCTATTTTTTTTAAATAGTAACAAGAAAAAAAAGTCTAGTACCATTATCGAGTATGGAGAAGTAGATATCGTGAGTCATCGACAACAAAACGATACCATAGAACAGGCAGAAATATCGTTGAAAAATGCCAAATCGAATGGGCATCGATTGTCCAAGCAATTGGTGGAAAATCAGCTAACTCGAAAGCAACAAAAACCATTGTTAATAACACAGATAATATACAACGCCACACATAAGTTTTGCCTAATCCATAATTGTATATTGCCCATAAAATCCAGCAGATCACATTGAGTAGGCCAACAAGAATATTCACAGTCATATTATAGCCAAAATCCATATCAATGAATAGTAAATAGTAGGCATGATAAAGAAAGAAGCTGAATACGAGCAATGATGCTATTTGAGCAATGGGCATAAATCTCGTTCGGTAGCCAACGCGAATAATACAACATACGAATTGTGCAAAGACAAGAGATATTGCAGCAATATAATCCAGCGTTTCTGTTAGGGGTTTATCACGTGTGTGAAAGATGGTCGACCAAATCCAAGCGTTCATCGATATTAAACAGAAAATGATCCACATGGAATAAAGCGGATGAATACCGTAACGAAGATGACGACGTAGTTGTTTATAACCAAATAGATAGTTTGCTAGGAAATTGAAAATCGAGAAAAATGTCGAAGCTGGTTCTTGAATACCGAGAAAACGTGCAAATGGCCATTTGCCTAAAAATATTCAGAAACTAAAGTCGCATCTCGCTAATGAAAAAAGAGTATTACCATGAAATTGTACAACGGGCTGTCCGTTTTCTTGCATGTGATCAACAGTTTTCCACATGCATTCATAGGCACATTCATCTGGACATGACCATCGGAAGAGATATTCGAACAGTGACTGTTTAACTTGGAATTCTTGCAGACCTAACGGCGTACTGCAATTCATTTGTTGGCAATGATTTAGACATGCTCGATAGAAGTAATGTCTATCGCCAGGCGATGCAAAAACAACGAAATTCAGAGACAAAACCAAGAATAAAATATAAAACATTATCATTAATGACTACAATATGTCAGGAATTGAGAGTGAGAGTGTATACCATCTCAAATTGATTTTGATGTGTAGACAAATCAACGATTGGGAAGATGTCGCTTATCACAAAAAAACAATGCTTTTCTGTTGATTGGTACACATAGCAAACCATAAAGGAATATTGTTGTAAAGTACTTACTTACGTGCGTGAATACTGCTTTCCTTTTCTACTTTTTCGAAGACCATTGTTTGTTTAAGTTCGTCCTGATATCATGAGTTTTCTCTGGGACTGGTTCACCGGAATTTTGTCAGCACTTGGTATATTTTCTTGTTATTCACAATCGATTTGTTGACCTTTGTTCCTTGTATGACATAGGTTTACACAAGAAAAGTGGAAAATTAGTATTTCTTGGTCTTGATAATGCTGGAAAGGTATGACTTTATCAATGATAATATTCGTATCAAGTTGATGTTTTAGACAACACTATTACATATGCTGAAAGATGATCGACTAGCTCAACATGTGCCAACATTACATCCAAGTATGAATTGATGGAAATTTTGTTCGAATGAGAAAAATATTTGATTTGTTTCAGCTTCGGAAGAACTAGTTATGGGAAATATGAAATTCACAACATTTGATTTAGGTGGTCACGCTCAAGGTAGGTGTTCCGGAATGTAGAAATCGGATGGCATTCGCTTTGTTGTAGCTCGTCGTGTATGGAAAGACTATTTTCCCGCTGTTGATTCAATAGTTTTTCTTGTCGATGCAGTTGATCGAAGTCGCTTCGCTGAAACTAAAGCTGAACTCGATGTTTGTATTCATTTCATTCAGATTTCTCTTCTTAATGCTCTCTCTTTCTCTTTTCAGAGTTTATTAACTGATGAACAAGTCGCGAATGCACCGATTGTAGTTCTTGGTAATAAAATCGATCTACCCGGAGCTGTCAGTGAACAAGAACTTCGCTACGTCCTCGGTATTTCTACTGCCACGACTGGAAAGGTATAGACAGGTTTTCTTTGTCTCGATTTCAATGACCCTGAACTACGTTTTTTTTGCAGGGCATTGTTCCTCGTGCAAACATTAACGGACGTCCAATGGAACTATTTATGTGCAGTGTGTTAAGACGGGAGGGTTATGGTGAAGCATTTCGTTGGCTTTCACAGTATTTATAAGAGAAAAACATTAAATCAAGAACCAATATGATTTCGATTATCTTCATCTTCTTTGTTGGTTTCATTCTTATATACTCATTTTATCTTTTTTTTCCTCTTTATGTTGTTGTCGTTGTCTGATTAATTGTTGGTTGGAAGAGATTGCAAACAAATATGTTAGGGATAAAGATTTTGTTTTCTTTTTTCAGTTTTATTTGACATCTTATGATTTGTATAAAAGGAGAAAAAAAGATAAATAAATCCGTTCGTAAATTTCGTTATATAATAAACAGTTTTATCGAAGATTAATCAGTTCAATTCCGACATTATGTATGTGTAATCAAGAATAGACAAGGAATAAACATTCAATAGGAGACGATTATCGCCGGTCGATTAATCAAGCTTAGTTTTAATCCAGTTCGTACATATTGAAGTTCGTTTGTATCGATTTTCTGTCCTAGTCAATCAGTGACGATGATCTATGATATCTTGTTGTTTCTATTTCTGATTTCCACGAGTTATGAATGCGAAATCTTGAAAGCATCACAATGTCCACCTGGCCCAACCAAAGACGATGAAGAATTAATGAAATCAGAATTATACACCAAAGAACAATTATTCGCCTTTTGTGATGCAGGAAAAACATATACTGATTGTATCAATGAACGCCTACATTGTTGCGATATGCGGGTGGAGTATGCATCGGCATTACAATCATTGGATGCTCAATTAAAACGCAATGCATGGCGAACAAGTAAATACTGCACTGGAATCAATGAAGCAACTATTATACAATATCGATGTTTAACAACAGCAGGATCAGCTATGACAACGACAGTACAAACGACAACGACACCAACGCCTATATGTGATGTGGAAAAAGTAAGAGAACTTTGTCTAAATGATATACAAATTATGTTGTATTGGTAAATTAGGCTGGAAGGGATTGCAGTCCATTGATTGAGAATCGTGTTCGTTTTGAGCAACATTGGTCAATTTATGAAAAAGCCAAATGGTGCAAAGATGCGTACGATTATTATGCTTGCGCATTAGCACATATAACGAATTGTTCGACTCAGCCAGTTGCAGAAGATATTGCTCAGTTGACTTTATTTATGGATTTCATCGAAAAAACTGCCATTCGTGAATGTCCTGGAGGTTTATATGGTTGTGCAGTTAATGCTAATCGAGATATGCGATGTCGTGCTGGAGTTCGATATTTTCTCGATAAGAATGCGTTTACTGATCGTGCTGGCCGATCTCACTTCTCGTCATTCAACGTACTTTTCGTCTCAATTTGTTTGATGAGACTATTTTCTTAAAAACTTCTAAACGATTTTTTGTTGTTGCCTTGTTACGTTCATTAAAAACGAAAGAGGAAATGATCTCATTGAATGGTTAGATTAGCGAAAGAGAGCACAGCGAGCGTCTACTAATGTCTTGTAATCCGATTGGTCACATCGCTCAGCCAATCGAAATCATTTGTCAAAGTAATAAACAAAACAGCAAAGATCATTATTCATTATATAATTGCTTTAAATCTTTGCTCCTATAGAGTGCGAAAAAAGCCATGTCTTCACGTCGTGGGATCTTTTTCAATTCCAAATCGCGTACAACTGATAAAATTGATCAATTAGCAACGCAAATATCGAATGAGATTCCCATAACAAGTACAGTTTCGACTACAATCAACATGACTAATCAAACAACAGCAATAACTACGACTAGTACTGGTACCACCACAGCGACTGTAAAGAAAAAGATTATTTTAAATCATGCAAAGCGTGCGTTGACGAAAAATATCTACTCCGGACCGAGAAAGATTTTCAGTACGAATTACAAAGTAATTTGATCGATACGATCTATTTGTTTATTTCGCTCCGACTGTCGTTATTCTAGGCAAATCGAACACAATTGAATCACAAAGCTTTTTTCGGTGGAAATACTGATGAATACGATTTAGATAGCCATGAAACGAAAACAACTACCACAATTTCGACAAGACCAATCATTCCAATCAATAAAGCGAAAATCGAACAGAAACAGGTTGGAAAATTTCGATCAATTCGTGTTTTTTCTTCTCATCTATTGAATATATGCAGACAATCGTATCAACGATTCGACAACCGACTACGTGTGCCGAACTCGATGAAACACAAAGTTATATTGACGAAATAGAATACCTATTGACTGGATTTCAACCTGGAAAACTACTCAGCGATCGTTGTCTAAGGTAATTGTTAACCTAGAATATAAATTCGCAGACGACATTTCTCTTTAGTGTGGTCAAATTTGCTGAATTATGCACAAAAGCTTCGTTTCGTACACATTTACGTACAAGCAATACACTTCGTCGTGTATTTGAACTCTTGAAAGATGCACCGGATATTCCGGTATGACAAATGAATCTTCTTTATTAAAACGATCTTCTTTTTCTTTAACTAGAGTTTGAATTTATGTACAACATTCATTTTCTACATCCTGTCAGCTGATATTTTAACCGCAGGATTGAATTCCAGTGCCACATATTTCATGTTAGATCTGGTGAAGAAAAATTCATCAATAGATGTGAACGAACCAGAATACAAGAAGGTGAAAGAACGAATATTGAACATCAATAACAAATTATTACCTGATCAAATCT